TTGTTTGTGTTTGGATTTTAATCAAGTGAATATCTGAAAAAGCTAGGAAAGCTTATTTTGATTCAGCTCCATGTTTGTGGTAGTGTGGCCATTTATTCTTCTTATAGCCTTTGTCCCTAACTTGGAGGCTGTCAATGGACATTCAACTGTTAGAAAGTGTCTTCTCCTTGAGAAGCATCTTCTCTTTTCCACTCTACATCTTATTGAAAGAAATAGACTATAAGGGAAAGGAAAAGAGGGTGAAGCTCCTGAACAGCAAGCATATTATCTCCCCTATTTTGATGAGATTTATTGAATGACTATATTATACAATATTTGTTCCTACATATCGTGCCCTCTTTTTGTGGCCAGGCATGGCTGCTTTTCTGGGCGCTTCCTTATATATCTTGCACTAATTCATGGGTTGGAATGGAAATTGTTAATAGACTTAGGGAACTGGAATCAATGATCTTACCTAGAAATGTCCAATCTTCCTTATTAACTATGCAACTGGGACATTAGAATAATTACCATATAATTATATTTTGACAGACTTCTCGAATGTATCATTTTGAATTGAACAAATCAGCCTTCAGGCTAAAGATTACATTCGGACAATTTTGTTAACAATAAAAGCTCAGCAACACAAATGCTAGTAAAGGGAAGGTGGGTCATATTCAGAAAGATAATGGCATATTTGTATTATGGTAAAATTGTTTTATTGAATGGTTATTGTTGTTTAAAAAGCAGCCGAACAAATTGCCCTTTACATGAAACAGTCTGGGCTGAAAGTAAAATTGAGCACTCTCATTCTATAAACAAATTCCTTCCACCACAGATGAGACATTTTCTAGCTTCATCCATGGCTGCCTTCATTCAACAACAGTAGAAAGATCAAACAATTGTTGGGATTATTTGGATTGGAGCAGTTGGGGAAGGAGGTTTTAACACTTTGTCACTGTTCCAGTTCCCCAACAATTGATCTCTGATTAACTATTCACTCTACATAACCCTGCAAAGCTCTTTTTGTCCTGTTGAGAAACAAGATAAGGAAATGATTGGTCCATTAGTGGGGGAAAGTGGCAAGAAGATGACAAGCAACAGGGAGAAAGCAGAACTACTTAACTCATTTTTTGCATCTGTCTTTACACAAAGGGAAAAAACAGTCCAACCTATCAAAAACAGTGCCATAAAAAACAGAATAGAAACACGTTAAGACAGGCAAGAAAATGGTAAGTGAGCATCTGTCCATCGTAGACGAATGCAAATCACCAGAACCAGATGGATTATATCCCAAGGTTCGCAAGGAACTGGCAGATGTGATCTCAGAACCATTGAACTATATTTTTCAAAGATCCTGGAGCACTGGGAACTATCAGAGGATTGGAAAAGAGCTGATATAGTTCCCATCTTCAAAAAAGGGAAAAAATTAGATCCAAGAAACAACAGACCTATCAGCCTGATCTCAATACCTGGGAAGATTCTGGAAAAGATAATCAAACAACGAATCAGCGAAAACCTAGAGGCAAAGAAAGTCATTACTAAAAGCCGACATGGGTTTGTCAAAAACAGATCATGCCAGACAAATCTTATTGCATTCTTTGACCAAGTTACAAAATTAGTGGACCAGAGGAATGCGGTGGATATAATTTACTTTAACTTCAGTAAGGCATTTGATAAAGTAGATCGCAACCTACTACTTGATAAGATAGAAAAATGTGAGTTAGACAGAATCACCACCAGATGGATTTGTAGTTGGCTGACTGGCTGTACTCAGCGTGTAGTCCTCAATGGAATTGCATCTACGTGAGGGAAATGTGTAGTGGGGTGCCCCAGGGCTCTGTTTTAGGCCTAGTGCTCTTCAACATCTTCATCAACTATTTGGACGAAAGGATAGATGGGGAACTCATCAAATTTGCAGACAACACCAAGCTGGAAGGAATAGCAAACATCCCAGAAGACAGGCTTAAGATACAGGAGGATCTGGACAGACTTGAATACTGGGCGCTATCTAACAAAATAAAATTCAATGGTGAAAAAAGTAAGGTTTTACATTTAGGCAAGAAAAACCAAATGTACTGGTATAGTGTAGGTAGTATCTTGCTCAATAGTAGGGAGAGGGATCTCGGAGTCCTAGTGGATAATCACTTAAATATGAGCCAGCAGTGTGCTGCAGCTGCCAAAAAAGCCAACACAGTGCTAGGCTGCATTAACAGAGGGATAGAATCAAGATCACGTGAAGTGTTAATACCACTTTATAATGCCTTGGTAAGGCCACACTTGGAATACTGCATCCAGTTTTGGTCACCATGATGTAAAAAAGATGTTGAGACTCTAGAAAGTACAGAGAAGAGCAACAAAGATGATTAGGGGACTGGAGGCTAAAACATAAGGAACGGTTGCTGGAATTGGATATGTCTAGTTTAATGAAGAGAAGGACGAGGGGGGACATGATAGCAGTGTTCCAATAACTCAGGGGCTGCCACAAAGAAGAGGGAGTCAAGCTATTCTCCAAAGCACCTGAAGGCAGGACAAGAAGCAGTGGATGGAAACTAATCAAAGAGAGAAGCAACCTAGAACTAACAGAACAATTAATCAGTGGAACAACCTGTCTCCAGAAGCTGTGAATGTTCCAACACTGGAAGTTTTTAAGAAGAGCCTGGACAGCCGTTTGTCTGAAATGGTATAAGGTTTCCTCCCTGAGCAGGGGGTTGGACTAGATGACCTCAAAGATCCCTTCCAACTTATTATTATTATTATATTATGAATATAGCTAAACTACCAATCTTTGCAACCCAGCTGATTCCTGCACACCAGGGTTGAAAACTAGGTGCTAATTTGGTTCTCTCTCTCTCTCTCTCTCTCTCTCTCCCTCCCTCCCTCCCTCTCTCCCTCCCTCCCTCCCTCCGCCCCCCCTCTCTCTCCCCACACACAAACACACACAGAGAAAATATAAAATAAAAAATCTACCATAATAATTACAGGTGAGTAGTTATTTGAGCCAGTTCCTTTTCTGCAAAACCTTCTCTGCAAAGTCTTTAGTGTAGTCCAGGGCTGTCAAACTGGCGGCCCACAGGCCGGATGCATTACATGCAGGCCACGCCCCACCTGGCTCCGCAACGGCAAAAAAGTCACAATACATCATGATACGTCATGTGACTGATCGAGTTTGTCATCCGTGGTGTAGTCAGAAGAAGACATCAAAATCTATAAGTATGGTGGAACATTTGTTGGGTCCTTGGTGCTCTCTAAGCTTGCTTGTTTTCTTGCAAACATATCACTACAACTAGGTAACATAATCAGTGCTAAAAGGGAGTGGGGTTTGCTTCATATACCAGGATATCTGCCCTGAGCGTATATACCTGTCCCACCAGGTTGGATAGGGACATGCTCCTGATTCTTTCCCTTAAACATTACTATCTAATGGGACCTAGGAAGTGCATCTTCTCTATAGCTTTTCCTACCCTGGGAAAAGACAATATTCAAACTATTCCTAGTGGCAATATTTCTCTGTGGTTGACATAGCCCAACATTACCAAATGTAAATTTTAATCTGGGTCTTCTTAGTCATTATCCAACACTATCACAGAACAACCCCAAGGGAATACATGGCCATATTTCAATATAACACATTAATCACTATTATTGCTAAACAGGAATCAAGGATCAGTATTTATACTTATATACCTATCACAAAAACAATGATCTAACAGAGTGTCATCTACAAATGTGCCCTTTATTTCCTGAATTCATATGCTAGTATCATTTGTAAAATGTTAGCTGTATTTCTGTTATATTACTGTGCAAATGTACAGACATTTGTATATAAGCCTTTTCTGAAAATCCTTTCTTGCAGTAAAATAGCTTTTCTGTTCCATCATATAATGTGTGGCAAATCTGTTATCTTAGGACCATTCTGTATATGGTTTTATCTGCCAATTTTGGTCTTTTATTTCTTCCCAGAAAGCTACTTTTCTTTTATTACAAAGAAAACATTACACCCATTTCTCAAAAATTACTCAATGTTCTCATAACCTTAATATGAATCTGGGAACAAATGAACTTTTCAACAGTATTATTAATGCTAAGAATTCTCCCATTGTATATTTGGTGTTTGATAAAGAACACATTTATTTATCTAGATATGACATACAATATTCTATGTTTGAAGATTTAGAACAAATGATCCTGGGTCAATCTCAATCTCCTTTCTTCCTTTCTCTTTCAGTCCAAATAAAGCTGAACTCCTGTGCAGATGACTGAGCAAAGAACACCTTCAGGGACCAAAAACAGACTTAGGGTGAACTAAAAATATGCCATAATTAAATACAATACTGATATATAGTTTGGTTATATGATCATTCAACTACTTTGCAATATTTAAAAAAGAAGTACTAATCCATAGGAAAGAATAGATCAGAAAAAGAGAGGAAAAGAGGAATGTCAGAAATATATTTTCAAGAGTGAAAATTAATGCTTTTAAGTTTGGTTGAACAACTAGCTTGTTTTAGCATTACCTACCATTGTGGTTCATCCCTGTCCAATCACTGTGAAAAACATCCTTTAAAATGTTTTTTAAAAGCCTGGTAAACTTGTGAGATTAATAGGAAGAAATATCTAGATGGATTGAATGTTTTTTTGTAGGACTGCACACTAAACTCCACAAATTCTTTCATTCTCCAGAAAAAGATTTTGGATTCAAGTATAGCACTTTACAAATTGTTGCAAAAATATCACAGTACCTTTTTTTCCTGACTTCAGAAAAAAATGAATTAAGCTACTATTGCTCTATTCTAGTGGTCTAGAGAAAATAAGACTAAAGCTTATTTTAAATCCAGCAGAATGTGATATTTTATAAACTTGCATGTGTTGAACGAACATCCCTGTATAAATTTCAGGTGCAGAATTTTGTAGGGAATCTTTGGGATAAAATTCACTTTAGTTCTAGAAAAAGCTTTATACATTCATAAATTCTGGGAATTATGATTCTTCAGTTACATACACACTGGTACACAAAGGAGTTATTTAAAACTCAGGTTTATTCAAAACTGAAGTAAGTTTGACAGTCATCTAGTAATACAGCATGCATTTTTAAAAATATATATAAAACATTTGGACTGAATGAAAATAAAAATGTTGATTGATTCATGCACATACAGTATTTTACAATATTATAGATAGTTGAAGTTTTAGAAGAAAATACGATAGTGTGGCATACATAGTTCTCACTGACAGCCTGATACTGGTGTCACAACTGTTATTTACAGAATCACTAATAGAACTGATATGTCAACAGCTCTCATTCCTCTTCTGAAGATGCTGCTAACAGCAAGATTCTCTACTAATTATATATTTTTTTATATTACATTATTCTCCAAGGAGAAAAGGCACACTGTGCTATTACAGTGACATAACATTAGATGTTTCAATATTGAACCTAAACATTAGGCACCAGTACAAAGACATACAGTGTCTCCACTGATACCCTTCATGGATTTCTTTGACTCAGTGACACAAGATGAACTCCACTGATGCAGACTAGTTATATTCATCCACCAAATAATTTGGAACCTTCCATCTGTAAAAGACAATGCCTTAGAATTTACAAGGATGAACCTGAAATTTTAAAAGTTGATATCTTTAGTTTGTCTTCCTGCCATTATTTTAACTTTTCCTTCCTATTTGGTTGTTATCTATATCACTTTCATGGGAAACTCTAAATCCCGAGCACATTATAAGTGCTTGCCTTGATACAATATCAATCTGTAATTGTTATATAGGAAACAGGCATGAAGAAATTCCTCAAATTGATAACAATAAAGAAAAGGTGGATAAAGTAATGTAGTCTGGAAACCCTGCAAAATGTTGCCCAGTACAGTTATATATTTCTTGGTTTGTTCTACAAAGGAATATTTCCGGCTGTTTGAATTTTATACATCCACTTTATATGTGTAGTAATTGTCCAAAAAAGTCTACTTTGCTTTTATATCCAATGACTCTGTTTCAATGTCCTTGTCTGTCAGACAGCAATAGAATAACTTCTGAACATACTGTGTAGTGGCAGCTGCAAGATAAAATAAAGTCACCGTATTATAAACATGGTAATTACGTCAGCATTACTGAAATTTCTTATGATGTAAAAAACTTCATTAACATGGCAATCTTGTTTTCTATAACAAATTGGTTACTGAAATTTGGTATGAGATAGGGATAATTTTTTTTTGGAAAGTTAAGTGATAGAGTGAGAAGGACTGCATTATTTTTTTAAAAAGGCAGATTGAAGACAAAAGATAAAGATCAAAATTTAATTTCATTCAATCTAATTTACATTAAATTTTAGCTACAGTTAAATTAACCAAATATAGTTGAAAGAATTAGTCCCAGTTTTCATTTTTTTTTCTTCTGTCTCATTAAAAGTTATAATTTAATGAAACCATCGTGGGAACTGTGTGCAAAGTTTTGTGAGGAAGAATGCCTGTCATTCTAGGACAGACATGTCAAACTCATGATGTCATGTGACATAGCGCAACGTATCGGGAAGGTTTTGCCATTGCCGGCAATGGGGTGGGCGTGGCTTCTAGATGACGTGTTCGGCCTGCGGGCCGGGAATTTGACACCCCTGTTCTAGGACATTGGATGGTTGACTCCCTCATACAGGAGTGTCTGACTGGAGGTGTCAGAAAGTAAAGCTATTGTGTCCCAAAGGTGCTTTTCCAAAGGCAACTGAATTATCTTGGGTTTTTTCCTTGAAAAGATTTTGCTTCTCATCCAAGAAATTCCTTCAGTTCTGAACTGAAGAAAAGTCTTATATGAGAAGTGAAATGTTTTCAAGGAAACAAACTAAGAAAGTCCAATTGCCTTTGGAAAAGCACTTTTGGGAGAACCATGACCTGGATGATTTGAGAATCTCCATATACATAAAGTTATTGTGATAGCATAGTCAAAGGACATGGAGCTTCAATTGCATGCTTGAGGTTGCCATTATGACTATTTTACCCTCTAAAACAGTGGTTCTCAACTTGTGGGTCGGGACCCCATTTGAGGTCGAACGACCATTTCACGGGGGTCGCCAAACCACGCTGTCCGCCATTTTTTTCCCTTTTCCCTAGCTGTCCTACTCCCTCTTATTGGTGGCCATACCCACTTGGGGGTCACCACAACATGGGGAACTGTATTATGGGGTCACGGCATTAGAAAGGTTGAGAAGCACTGCTCTAAAAGAGATGCCACTATCATTAGATGGATAGGAGTCGAATAAATACAAGTTAATAGCTTGTGATTTGATCCACGTTAAGATTATTCTATCCATCTATCCCTTTTAAACTTTAAGTTGCATATAGAGGATACACATTTGTAAAATTGTAAATAAACTATGCAGTTTCTTACCAGAAAGCCAATGAAGACACCAAGGTCTCTTTTCTGCTGGTAAATAAACTCCCAAAAAGTAAGCAGGAATTCCAGAGAGTGCAATGCCAATTCCAATAACAGAATTAATTGTATCACTATAGAGAGGCACTATAACAAGGAAAACGGTGCATATACAATATACAATGGGAAAGAAGAGACTGAGCTGAAAATTAAAAAAAAAAGATAATTCCAAGTTAAAGTATGTGCATCTGAAAAATGTTCTCATTACTACAACTCTCACAGTTTCAAAAAAGTTTTATATAACTGTGTTTCATATCCCAGAAGAAAATTATACCATGGCAAAGAATATTTCTTGGTATATGATCTGAAATTCTCAGAAACCACAGTAACAAGAACAATCTGATTTCACTTTAACCCGGAAGCCAGTTTAACAGATAAAAAGTAGATATTAGAAATATTTTGTTTGCTTCTCAAATTAAAAGACTTCTAATTGGGTTACCAAATCAGAACTGCAAAAATCTAGGCACCATTATCCAACTCTTAAAACATTCAGAAAATGCTAGTTCTTTGTTGCCACCCTGTGAATATATGCATTTTTTCAGGCTAGATTTTTTGCCCTATAGGCAAAAGGCCAGTAGTTTAAAAAATGGAATTCTCTATAGATGCTTAATATAAAAAGTAGAACTATATACAACTGGTTATAATTTTACATTTTAATTCTCTTCTGTACTTACTTTAATGGGCCTTGGTCTATCTGGCTGGATATGCCTTAAATATATTAATCCTGCAATGGATAGTCCAACAAAGAACCAATAGCTGAAACAGTAGTAATATATCAGGAGAAAGACATCTTCCACAAGGAGATAAACCAAAGTCATTAAACCCTATCAGGAGATAAAAGAGAAAGAATGAAGTGTAAAGATAGAGGAGAGGGAAAAAATAAATATGCTCTAAATCAATGTTTTCAACTTTCAACAACCAACTTCACAACTTTAAGATGTGTAGAGTTCAACTTCCAGAATTCCCCAGCCTGCTCTAAACAATTCTTAATCACTGATTTGTCTTAACTGATGCTTACAGGCTCATAAATTTAGTTTCTACTGCAAATAGCTTTAACCAGATAAAGTGCACCGATTGGAGGTATTCTTTTGGGCTAGTTGCCCTTGAACCTGACCATGAAGGAAATCGTGGTCCCAATCTCCAGCCAGAGTTTACATTTGGGAAGTTTCTTTATTTTGTTGTTGCTGACGGTTCTTGCTCTTATTTTTTTATAAAATGGCTAGAGAATAATTTCACTAGAAGTCATATATCCAATCTCAAAGACATACCATTAAATCCAACCAGTCTTCAAAACAGACATGAATTGGGTACTATTATGACTGCTTGAACAATGCCTATATATTCAATTTGGAAAATCAATTGCTTGCCTCACATGAAATAAATATATGAGTCTAGGTTTCAAAATAAGCAAAGCTTTATTCTCTTATGCTTTATCATTACTTACATTAAAAACAAGAGCAGGAACAGGGGTGAAACATTTTATATGAATTAAGCTCAGGCTATCAGGGAGATGTCCTTCTCTAGCTCCAACATAAAAAAGTCTATCAAAAGTGGGAAAAAAGTATTAGTATATAATTCTATACATTCACAATAATATTGATGTAAATCATAGCATAACATAGATACTTCCTCTTACTCCTCTTCCCCATTTAAAATAATTTATAATTTTAATTTTGTTCTTCAGAGAATTCAGAGTAGAACATCTTTACAATTTTTTGTGAAATGAATTAGACTGAGTAAAAATGATTGATGCAAAGTTACCTAAAATTTTTATTTACTAGAGTTTTGAAATTGGATCTTCATGCATTGAGTCCAACGTTTTATCCCTTGCTGTGCTCCTTGTGGTGAAGTGCTGATGGATGCAGTCTCTACACCATCCATAGGAAACTGTCCTTTGTAATTCCATTATGAAATTAATCATGTGGAAATGTTTGTTAACATTATGTGTACATGACCAGCAATGCATATTCTCTGAATTAGGTAAAGACACTGTGCAGGATAAAATATTCTTTGTGTAAATAAAATATGAAATTGACACTATCAAAACTAGTAGAACTTTTTTGGGAAGCTGACATGCAATGCCATTGCTAAAAAAACACATCTCTGTCTTGTAACCACCTATTGAATCTCAGGATAAATATCCCAAGACCGTATTCTTATAGTCAAGATAGTTTTACAGTATGTAGAAGAATGAGATCCTTCAGGAAACATTGCTCTTAATCACTTAATATAAAATTGGTTACATAATACAAATTTCTGAACAGTTTCTCTTCTCTTTAGAAAACAGTTTGGGATTTCCAAGAAAGAAATGGCACAGCTCTGCTAAAAGTGGAGTTGACAACTGTGGTGGAGTGAAGAGCCAGCAAAGGGGACTGGGTCTTTGTAATTACTCTCTGGAAAAGGCGAGAACTTGAGATCTCCCACAAGTGCTCCAGACAATAGCTGCTTGTGAAGAAATTGCAAGACAGCCAGTCTCTGGGAGACAAAGGAAGACCTATCACACTTCCTTTTCTAATCATTTTTAGAAATTGCTTGTTTATTGCTTTTCAGCTATTACAAACAGTTGGATGACATATTTTATAGCACCAGATCAATTTCATTCAATTCTTAGCAAAAGAAATTTTAAATGCAAATTTAAAAACTATTTTTTTCTTTTGGAATAAATGGCCAAAGGAGGATAACAACAACAACAACAACAACAATAAAGCTGGAAGGGACCTTGGAGGTCATCTAGTCCAACCCCCTGCTCAGGCAGGAAAACCCTATACCATTTTGGACAAAGGGCTGTCCAGTTTCTTCTTGAAAACTTCCAGTGTTGGAGCATTCACCATTTCTGGAGGCAGGTTGTTCTACTGGTTAATTGTTCTAATGATTAGAACCTTGATCTTGGAAAGCTACAAATGGACTAAGGGTCTGGTGGCTTTGAAATAATATTTTGGAATTAATGATAAGTATCCTTGTTATTATACTTTTAAAGACAGGATTTCAAAGAGACTTTAAAAGTTGGACACTAGAGGGAACCAGAAGGAAGAAAAAAAAAACAGATTCAGCTTCATAAACATATTATAGGAGTATGCTGTGCTATTTATTTATTTATTTATTTAATCATTCCACATACAATTTAATAAAATAGCATTTTATTTTTCCCCAATAGGAAAAGGAACAAGGAAGAGTAGTCTCTTAAGAGAAAAAGAGTGATAACAAAATAAATTTCACTAAATAGGAGTATGCTGTGCTATTTATTTATTTATTTATTTATCATTCCACAAACAAATTAATAAAATAGCATTTTATTCCCCCCCTCCCCCAGATAGGATAGATAATTTTGGTGACATTCTCATGGGTGGAATATGATGCTTTTTCACTTATTCAGTAGACCATGGGATACACAAGAATTGCTTAATTTTCACAGTAATTTCTCCAGTAATTTTCAGCCTATTTTGGTTTCAATTAAATTCCAAGAGAGGTCATGAGTTCGCCTCCTCTTTGGCTTTTTGACTCGTGATACCTCCTGCCCTTCATAGATTGCTGGAGAACTCTTTTCCGTAGAGAATATTCAAGAAATGATCCACCCAGTTTCTTTTCCTAAAAAGCCCAAGGGAGAATTTTAAAAAGCTCTTTATGCTCAGCCTTACATTGCACAACAGAAACATTTATTATGAATTGGCTACTGACTTATCAGCCCACTATTCATTTCCTAGTGTCTCATACCTTGAAGCTGCAATAATTGATGAGTTTAATCCTCCATAACAAGACATTGCCACTGCAATAGGAATGATCCATTTAGCATGGCTAAGAGCTTCATTACCAAATGTCTGCAACAGGAAAACATAGAAGAAAAAATTCATTCAGCTAGCTTTCCTAACTCAGGGAAATTGACTGCATGAAAATTTAAGTTCTAGCATAAAATTATACTCAGTGAATTCTGACAAAACCAGCATCTTTGCAGAGTCTTTGAATTTAGTACCTAACGGGCAACTAGATTTCTAGTGATTAAGTAATAAAAAACAATAAAGACATAAAATAATTATTATGATGTGATACGATGTTTTAATAAACATGGGAGAATTTTGTAAGTCCCAAATTTTCTGTAGGTAGTAAAAGAAATAGTTATCTATCTTATTTGCTTCTACCCACCTAGCATTTCAAAAGCATGCAAATGCAAGTAGATTAATAGGTATCATTTCGTTGGGAAGGTAACAGCATTCCATGCACCTTTGGCATATAGACATGCTGGCCACATGACCATGGAAAATGGCTTTGAACAACATTGGCTCCCTTGGCCAAGAAACGGAGATGAACACCTCGCCCTAGACTAGAGTCATCTATGACCGGAAAACCTTTACTCATATTTGTTCTACAGCAAAGTTTCCTAACATGGGGCTCTCCTGAAATATTGAAACTACATGGTCAAGAATTCTCAGCCACTTTGCAAATAATGTCTTCTCTTTATATTGCCTGCAAATTGTAGTCCAAACTGTATCTGGAGATGACCAGGTTAAAGAGCCTTTTATAATAGTTCCATAAGATATAATAATAATAATAATAATAATAATAATAATAATAATAATAATAATAATAATAATAATTCAAACAGATAAGCACCTGCAACATAACACCCCAGACTTAACAATTGTCGATAAGAAAGACAAAAAAGTCTGGATAGTGGACGTGGCAGTGCCTGGAGATAGCAGAATAGAAGAGAAAGAACTGGAGAAGATAACAAAATACAAAGACCTACAAATAGAAATAGAAAGACTGTGGCAAAAGCAAGCAAGGGTAGTACCAATAGTATAGGCTCCTTGGGTGCAATCCCAAAACAACTGGAGCACCACTTGAACACCATTGGCATTGACAAATTCGCTATTAGTCAATTGCAAAAGGCGGCCTTATTAGGAACTGCTTCCATCCTGCGACGATATCTGTAATACCATCAAACATCCACATCTGCCTATCCCAGGTCCTGGGTAAGGACTCGATAGGTAGACAAAATGCCAAATCCAGTCTGAACATCTGGCTGACTGTGCGATAATCAATAATAATAATAGTAGTAGTAGTAGTAGTAGTAGTAGTAGTAGTAGTAGTAGTAAAGTTGGAAGGGACCTTGGAGGTCATTCTAGTCCAACCCCCTGCTCAGGCAGGAAACCCTACACCATTTCGGACAAATGGCTGTCCAGTCTCTTCTTAAAAACTTCCAGTGTTGGAGCATTTACTGCTTCTGGAGGCAGGCTGTTCCACTGATTAATTGTTCTCATTGTCAGGAAGTTTCTCCTTAGTTCTAGGTTGCTTCTCTCCTTGATTAGTTTCCACCCATTGCTTCTTGTCGTGCCTTCAGGTGCTTTGGAAAATAGCTTGATTCCCTCTTCTTTATGGCAGCCCCTGAGATATTGGAATACTGCTGTATGCATATGTATGTACGTATGCATGTATATGTGTTTCTCTGAGTGTCTGTGTGTTTGTATATTGTAGAGGAAAGAATAATCAACTTGTAAAGGAGAATATATGTAGCTCAGGATTGAAATGAGGGGTCCTTGGTGCTCTCTGAGCTTGGCTGTTTTCTTGCAGAGGTTTCTTTACCTAAACTAGGTAATGTAATCAGTGCACTGATGAGGTTATCTAGTTTGAATAATGAAACATCTGCAAGAAAATAATCAAACTCAAAGAGCACCAAGGACCTCTCAATAATCAACTCATTGTGAGAATAAAGGAGTGAGAAAATTAATGATACTGAGTACGTATGTGCATTGTGTATGTTGTAGAAAAATATAATTTGGTTCTATCACTTTAAATAAAAGCTTTCCTTGACTGATAATGAGGTATTCTCACAAGTTAGTGATTCCAATTAAATAAAAAGTTGTTTTCAAGTGTGCTAACTTAGGAAGAAGAAAACCTTTTGAACTGGCAGGCTGGTTTAGAATATTGAAAGCATACTATAAGAAAGGTGCATATGGGAACGGGGGTGGGTGGGTGAGGGGAACAAATGATAAAAACAGTACCATGATGCTGCACACCACAAAAAGAGCTTGGTTTGTGACACTGCTTTAGTTATTTGGGGTGAAAGTATCAGATCATTTGGACACTCCTCCCTATCATGGTTAGCTTGTTTATAAAAATGGCAGCCAAATTATTGTGACCAATAACAAAACATCTATTGACCAAAACACAAACTAGAGGTTGTGCCTATCAGTTCTCCAGCCCTTGAGGATGCTTTCTATCATGTTGTTATGGTTATCCTGGACAGGTGAATTGCCAAACTTCCATACAGCACACCAATCATTTTATAAGTATACTTATCTTATTTACAAAATAATTAAAATTTGTAGCTGGCTTGCTTTGCTTTAATTATTTTGTAAACAAGATAATAATTTATTATCACTGTAATAAAATAAAAAAAATGAGCCAAGGGTATGGAACCTAGTGGGAACCTTTGGGCCAGATACTGCTGATTCTTGATACAGAGTTGATATTTCTGTTCTGCTTTCCACCAGTATTCCACTTTAGTGTTCGGAGGTCAGATTGACCATGCTGCAATTCGAAAGAGATGTTTCTGAATCAACACTGGATTCAAGTGTTGGATGAGAAGCAACAATTCATGGGAAAGGAGTCCTGTGTCTCCGTCTATTTATGTCCTCTGTTTAATGTCCATGGAACTCACTGCTCTAAAGTAAAGTAACTCCCAGGGTCAAAGTATTCCCAAAGAAGAACATTTGATAGCTTCCAAAACATGGGTTGCTTCTTCAGAATAATAACTCACTTTAAAAGCAAGACACAATCTTGCTAATTCAGAATCAGGAGGTTACATTTGCAATGCAATGATAATGTTGCTTAGTGATAATTTCTAACAGCTTCCTGTTTATTTCCTAGATTCTTAGTTCTTAACTATTGCTCTTCTATATGTTCTGAATAATTTATATATCTCTATTTTTGTCCCTTAATCGCTGATAAAAATGTCTAATTCTGTTTCTAATTCTCAAACTTCAAAGATTGCAAAATATATGCAAATATATCTTATTTCCTTATTTACTACCTACAATTTTAATTCAGAATTATACTCATAATAAATTCCATCACTTGAAAACAAGGAGTCATTGCTATATCCATAAATTGCCATCTCATAAATTTTAACAGGAAACCAATGAATTGCATGCAGCTCTGAGCATCCAGCAAGACCTAAAATTTATTAGCAAAATGATTGCATTTTGATTGTAATATTTCAGACCATGGGCCAGGGGGATATTCAGTTTATATGAAAATAATGGTTTGTTTACCAAGTGATTTTTGCTTGGATTTGGACCCTTAAACAATTCCAATACCACTCCTACCTCCAATGGGCCAAAAGAGATTCAGCCATCTAGTTCTGCAAAAGTACTAAATTATCTCACTTTCCAGGAGCTCAAGATTTTTTCTACTGCTCATGTTGCTTCTTGTATCAAAGCATCTAAGAAAATGAGCTGATACTAAGTCTGATGTATATTTCTATGATTCAAAAATCTAAAAGACTACTAGGATTTAAAATCAACGAAGAGTGTAATTGATTTAGTCACATGCTGTCTCTATCCAACATAGATTTCCCATAGCAGCAGGAATTTTTAGAAGAGTATTTGAACACATGAGAAGTTTGGCTCAGTAGCACCTGTAAGATATGGGTCTGATGAAAACAATGCTATGCCATTTCATCTTGTGCTTTTGTATGTGCCTCATGACATCATACAAGATCCCAAAGGGATGGAGTTGTGGTGCAATATCACAGTACTGCTTTTGTTATTTTGATAAAAGCAGCAAGGCACTATGGACATTGTGTTTGGACTGCATGAAAGGCAAGTGGTAAGTAGACATAAAAATATATAATGTGTTTATTATTCAGGTCAGCCTTCTTCAACCTGCTGTTCTTCAGATGCATTTAAACTCTTGGAGTTGCAATCCAATACCTGTAGATTTTCTGAGATTGGGGAAGGCTGCCCATCAGATGCACCCAACAATTTATAATGCACAACATACCACAGCCACGGCATCACTTGTTAAGAGAGCAGACATATCCAACACGACATAGTAGGCCACATTGGTCAGCAAGTAAATAATAGTCACTATAGGCATTGATATGGCAATGGAAAGTGGAAGGTTTCTGAAGAAAGAAATAAAACAGCAGAATACATTAAGTGCACCTGAATTAAGGATAAATCCAAATGGATAAAGCAAGTATTAATACAACAGTTTATATATGAATGTATCTTTCTACATTGCTGACCTTATTCAAATATATATACATAAAGAAACCCATGCCATATGCAAAAAGATGAGGAAGAGATATATTTATCCAGCATAAACACATACCTTTCTGGGTTTTTCATTTCTTCAGTGACAAAATTCAATGTATCCCATCCAGAGTAGGAAAAGAGGGCAGAATAAAGAGCAAGTGCAACAAATCCTGCATTTGTTGTGGAACCTTCAAATGGTTCCTTAAGGTTTTCAGTTTTTCCTGTGGGAACATCAGAAATGTGAGGTTTTGTTTAAATTTAGGCATATAGGTATTTTATATGTACTCAGGTAAAAGTGGGCAAAAGTGAAATATTCACTGCATAAAAATCATGGTCACATTTTTCCTTTCCATAACTCAATTCATAGTTGGTTACATTGCTTGTATATTCTTTTTACCCTTCTGGGAAGCAAGTCTCTTCATACCAGTTTTCTGGCATCAGAGGAGATAAGTTACAAAAGATCATTATTTAGTTATGTGAGCAAAGATACGCCGCTTGGAAGCAAGTTCTATACAATGACACATTCTTCCAAGAATTTTCTTTACTAGAGTTACTTTCCCCCCATTAGATTTAAAAAGAGCTAATAAAGATAATAAATGAACTCAGAGCAGCTCCCTGTTATAAAATATAAAATAAAAAACTACATCTGGATTGCTCAGGATAATCGCTGCAATCGAATAATTATCTGCTAGTATATAGTTAAAGGTGTTTTTGGAAATAATGATGACATTACAAAAAAAATGGATTTCAAGAAGGATGGGATGCTGATAAAGATTGTCTTATCCACCCTTAAAAGCTAGGTATTTTGATGTGTTTTCTGGTCTACAGTCATAAGAATAATTAATATCATTTACTCAGTTAAAACTATAGATCTGCATGTCCAATATCAAGTTATTCAGAGCATTGTAGAAATTGGAAACAAGAGTTGTGTGGAAACAAAGTGCCAAGAGGTCCATGACCCTAGAATGATGGATCACAATGTTTTTTTTTCTTGCATAAGAGGAATGAATCATGTCAAATATATACACACTAATATCATAGAGCAAAAAGATAAAGTGTGACTTAAAATCAATCATTGCCTCTAACTACTATTTATTTTGCCATATTTATAACAGTAAGTTCCTTCTTACCTTGACTAATTTTATAAAGGCCCACAGCTATGACCATGATAAGAGCCATCACTTTTGCATAGGTGAAAAGATCCTGTACTCGGGTTCCCCACTTCACATTGACACAATTAATAAAAGTCAGGGAGCCTTACAAAAAGTAGGAAACAAACATAATAAACATTGTTAGCTGCATTTAATTAGAACAGACAAGCTATTTGAAGTATCTCTTTTAATAGTCTAGCTATTTTTCTAAAGTGTAGGTGAATGTATTAAAGAACTACAGGTAGTTCTTGTTTAGCACCATACTTGGGACCAGCAACTCAATTGTTAAATGAAGCAGTTGCTAAATAAAATTACAGTTGTGCCTATGACTGTACTTCAGCTTTCTTTTGCTTTACAGACCTTTGAAGATTGTAAATGCAGGGATTGGTCATAAAGTTACTTTTTCATCATCGTCATAACTGTGAACAGTCACTAAAAGAAGCATTTGCTAAACAAGGACTACCTGTAAAGGTCAGCACCCAATGCAGTCCAAAAACAAATTTGCTAGCAGCATATAGATAAAAATGAGTCACCTCTTTTTCCTCCGTATCCCTTCAGTAGGTGGCAGAAACCAAAACAATTGGAACAATATAAACTATTCTTTAAAGAAAATACTAATTTGTAAATGGTTTATTTGATGGATAATGCTGTAATTTCTGAACATGTTTAACCAGATTTCCCAGTTTTGAAATGGAAATATAATCTATCAATCAGATCATAAGAGTAAACAACGAAAAAATGCCATCCTAAATGTCCTCTTATTTCGCCATCAGGCTGATTAAGACAAATTGTGAAAATTTGTTGCAATACTGCACATATTTTCAGAAAAATAAATCACACTGAGTGCAGTATTACAATTTTCATTAAACATTGAAAAGATTGCACAATTTTTTGAATTCTTTCCTCAGACATTTAATTTATATAGGTTTGGCAAACCTTTCTATTTCATTTCAAGTTCCTATTTTTAAAGAGCAGAAATGTAAATGATATTAAAGGGGTGTCAGGAAAGTGAAAGAAGTTCAGTTTCAGTTATGTGTTGAATATACAGTATATAACAATATATGACCATTTTTAGGTGCAAGGCCAATAATAGTTAATTGTGAATCTGTTGCTCAAAATAGCTGGAAGCCACCAGATTGCCATTGTCTAGACCGCATGTCCAAAGTTATAATCTTGGGTTAAAGGACAAAGGGGGTGGACTAGATCTAAAGGACAAAAGGGACATTTCCAATGAAAACCAAAATCTAAAATCACCTGCGTGCACACTCTTCCCTCTCTGGTAGTTAGCAGTAAACTATACAAAAATCTTTCATATTTAATTGTTTTCATCTTCAAACCAAGACTACTGAGCTAATAAGAATTTAGAAAGTTCTTCTGATAAAATGGGAGTTTCTGGAATTCTTTTTGGGTCACTGTTCCAGAAAATGAATAAAACATATTATATTCTAAAACTGTACCATATATAATAAATTATTGCTTTGACCAAGTGAAATTTTACTTACAGATGCAGGCTGCTGCAATCAATCTAACTGCTCCATAGGGTGGCTCACAAAATGGAAATATTGGCTGAACAATGTAATTAGCAAAAGTAATTGCTATGACTGCCTGTGTGGTAGGTTCAATGATCAACAAGGAAGACCATAGTCTGATAAATGCTATAAATCCTCCAAAAGCTTCTAGAATATAGGCATAGCTTGCTCCTGATTTAATTATGGATGTCCCCAGTTCAGCATAACACAATGCTCCAAACAAAGAGAAGATCCCGCCAAGGGCCCAGAGTAGAAGTGCAAGTCCATATGAGCCACTATACATTAGCACACCCTTGGGTGATACAAATATTCCTGATCCAATCATGTTCCCTACAATTAAAGAAATGCCATTAAGCAAGGTGATTTCTTGTTTCATTTGCATTTTTTCCTTCTTGTTCTCTGCCACTGAGTCCAAGTCCTGTAATTCATTCTTGGGTTTGTGTTTTTTATTGCAGCATGTTGTCCAAGGACCCGTCATCTTCAGTTAATCATTACCTGGAAATAAGAATGAGAGAATGTTTTGTCTGGGGGAAAAAATGTGGAAACAGTTATACTGTAACACTTTAATTCCATGGAGGCTCATTTCTGTTATCAGTAGGCCAGGAGTTTAGCCATTGAATATGTTAGTTTAATAATAATAATAATAATCAACATCAACATCACCTAGAACTCCTAATCCAAACTCTTGTAATTAAAGTGAATTCTTTGTTTATTTCCTTAGTCTTTCACAGAACCCCATCAAGTTTTCATCCAAGTCTAAAGTCACAATCTCTGGTGCTCCAGGGTTTTTCCTACATGTAACTGCCCCTCATTGTAAATACACCTAATGCACTTGTTTTATAAGATAAGAGTGCTTTGCTTGGACAGAGGATCGGAGAACAAAGAAAACTTTAAGTCTAAAATTCATGATTAGAAGACCTACTTTTCTTTGCAGAAAAGTCTTCATAATAAAATTATGATTTCATGTTTCATGAAAAGCAGACTTTGAAACACTGATTCCAGACCTTTCCTAGATAAAAACAAAAGTTTATTGGTTTGGTTAGAAATTTAAAATACCAGTTAACACATAGTACATAATATTACTATGATTAATTTTTACTAGAAACCTAAGCAGTGATAGGCACTACATAAAGTTTAGCTATTACTTTGTGTACTACACATGGAAATTTAATTTGGAGAACTTTCTTTTGAGAGCACTGTATGCACTAAAGTTAAAACCATACAAGGGACTATTCAAGATTGACTCAATATTTTTTGAAGGCTAATATAGTATTTTTTCCATTTCTACATGCGGAATACTACTAGGGGGATAATTGCTAAAGTGACTCAGGGACTGTCACTGGAAAATTTGGACCAATCACTGTCTTTCAGGCAACGCACAAGATTGAGAATTAGGAGATATGAGTCATATAAAGCACTTTAAGTTCTCAAACAAAAGGTAGAATCTCAGTGCAATTGACAGTCACTTTCTCTTAGCCTACAATGCCAGGATGGGCAACAGGTCAGCAGTCAGTCAATTCTTGTTGCATCTAATGGATCAAACACTTGGTTGATCTGGAAAAAGAACACACCTTGCACTGGTAGGAAAACACTAAAAAGAAAAAAATGAGTATTATTTTTTTTTTGCTACAATATCTGAGAAATATTTGAGGAAGCCCTATCAGATTCTGGAGCATCCAACATTATCTCCGCAAATCTGCTTCTAACTTCCCAGTTTCAGCCACTTGAGGTAGTCATCTAACATTATTCTACTTTTGTTTTTAACTGTTTTTATTATATTTATATATAACTTTTCTGGTTTTATGTCTATTTGTGCATCATCTAGATTTGTTCTGTGAGGGAAATGGCTGGTTTCTAAATGTGATAAATAAATAACATGGCCTTGGAGTTAATATCTACTTCCTCCACTTCTTATTACACAATATAAAGTATCTTCTTTCAGCCAGTAAAACACTGACTAACCTCAGCTATCACAGCTTTTTTTTTTTTTCATATTGAGCATGAATATTGCTGGCCCATAGACATTTTCTAATTCATGCATGTAGTACTTTATGCATTCCAGCTTTCCTTTGACCCTAGAGATTATAATTGGATTCTTATGCTAAGCCACAATGTGATTTGGTTCAGTATCTTTTGTGAATAAAGTCACTGAAGCTTGTTGCAGAAATCATGATTAAAATAAGTGTGACTAACTTGACTTAAAATGTGAGCCCAGCTATATTATCTCAAACTGATAGCAAGAATTACTTCTGTGGAAATAGCCTGCCACATATAACCCATGGTATGAAACTGTAGTTTCTTGACATTTTGATATTAGTGTATTACAACAAACAAGCCCAGCAATGCACAAATTAACTCCAAGTTTACCAGCTGGCAGCAATAATTCCTGAATGTTCTCATTTGCCTGAATGACAAAAAATAGCTAAGAATCAACAAAGACCTTCAGAGAGTTCCTCTACTAAAATGAAGAAACCAACATATTTAAGATTCTGAAAGAATGCAGTTATAGCATATGTACAGAGAAGTCATTGCAGGTTGACTGTCAGCAGGGATATGGAATAAATTTATGCAATTCATATTTGAATGTGAACATATCACATTTTTAATAATTAGAATTTTAATAAAATTCTAATTATTCTCCACATTTCTCCTGATTCCAAATTTGCAATACATTCACCATTTTCTTTAAAAAAAATGCAATTCGGGAAATCAATAGAAGAGATTATATGTAGCTCAGGGTTGAACTTAGGCTTGCAGACATTTCATTAACCAACTAGGTAACATCATCAGTGTGAGTGAGTGTAGGATTTGCTTTCTGTTTAGGGAAAGTATATATTAGGGGAAAGTCCTCACAAAACTATTTTCAATCTTGTTTTCCTTGTTTGCATGCCATCCTCAATACATTTGGATTCAAAGAAAATTCAGATAATTATTTATAATCTAGTGTAAAAAATGTGGTGGGATACTTTCTTTCAAGTCAGGCTATTATTCTTCATAATAATTACCTTGTTATTACAAAACAGCCAAAGAAAGCCTACTGAAATGCTTACGTCGATCTTTGGTAGGGAATATTACTTTGCTCATTTTTCTTGACAAACACTCTAAAGAATTAAGCAGCACAGTAAAAATCAGCTGTATAGTACTTGAGCCCATTAGATTATATTCTTTAGCCTGGGGGGGTGGGGGTGGGGTAGGGGTAGGAGAGAATTAAGAAAATCAAATTATTTAGTGATGGTGATGATGTACTGTGTTTATTTGAAAGGTGGCTTGATGAAATGATGAGAATAAACTGGGGCAGAATGACTTATCCCAAAATGTGAAGAGCCTTTGCTAAATGAACATTAAAAGCTTGGATTAAACCAAGAGCATTTTTGTTTTACAAAAAGTTTATAATGTGAACTAGCAATATCATTTGGTGTAACTGTATTATTTTGAATTTTGTAATTATTAGTTCAGTAAATATACCGAATGATTCTAAATTGCAAAAGACTATATTCTGGTAGAGGAAAAAATGAGAAAAGTAAGACCAAGGGAAATTGATTTTTTTATGTTGTGGATGAAGATACATGTTGTAAGAATTAATAAACTAACTCCTATTCTTCATAACAGCATCTATATAGATTTTTGTTGAATCCGGAATGTACCCTTTCTCATGAAAGGGCCTGTAGTCCACAAAAATTATATAATAATTTTGTTCATAATTAGGGTATCACAGGACTGTGACCCTACTTTGACCTTCTACTTTTCACTATCTTTACTACTTCAGTTGATGTTTGAGCCAGAATTCAGTTTAAATTCTGTCTTCTCTTATCTCTTCGGTTCTTCGCTTCTTTCCTTTCCCTGGGCAGAGACTTATATCACTTCTCTGCTCCTAGTTCCTGGTCTGGTGAAGTTGATACTGCTTACTACTGGTGCATGGAAAGAGAGTATGCAGACTAAAAGCAGATCTCTGTTTTGGAGTTCAACTCCTATAAGCCTTACACAACATGTCCAGTGGCAACGAACTGTGAGAATTACATTAGTGAAACATTTATTTATCTACTTTTACAGTACTGGATGAGCTCATGGAACAGTTAAATAGATTTACAATACTAAACTGCCTGGCTGTTATGGTTTGCATCAAACATTACTTTCATAATCTTAGGAAAACTTTCCTGAGAGATAACATAAATTGCCCCAAGACTTTCATCTAAAGCAAACCACTTGTTCAAAATCATAGTGATGTATCTATAAATACTTTCTAGCTTGCTCATTGTATTTGTTACAGTATGAATTGGCTATGAAACCCATGCAAAGTTCATTTGAGTTTACCACCTCTTGCCTACTTAAAGTAATATCTTCAGAAATAAACAGAGGTGAATCATCAGTGAGGAGTCTGTTACTTTTGACATTTCACTTGGGTGAGATGCCTATGTATACAAATGAAATAAAATACTCTTAAATAATGTATCATGTAATAGAAATGCCTTTACTAGTTTGTAAATAATTAATGGATACGTAGAAAAAATAACTATACTAAACCATGTATGAGATCAACTATAATACTGGAAAATCAGCCGAAACAGACCTCAGTATACAATATAGTTCTTGAGTGTGATTAAAAATAAGCTGTAAGAGAAGTGTTTGTTGTATGAACATTTGCCCAAGCTGGAATATCCTAAATGTACAAAACAAAACTGTCATCAAGAAATGCCTTCCCAAATGTTACACTATTGAACTAAATCCTCCTATCTTTTGAATGGATGATACAATTTCATATGCAGTGTCCCCTACCTCCTAATATTTCCTAGTGCCACATGCTATTTTTCTGCTTATCTACAATATTGAAAAAGTTCCTCTGTTTCACTTTCTCTAACCTAGTACTTACCAGATACATAGGACTACAACACATACTGATGGGGTATGATGGAAGCTGTAGTCCCAAGTATCTTGAAGGAACTAGTTAAGAAAGTATGTTTTCCAATAAACATTTTTTAAAATGTAATTTGAAAAACAAGATTCTCCCTTGCTTTACCTTTTCAATGGCCCATTTTTAACGACTGAAAATATGAAAAGGAAAAGTCATTCCTACCTGAAATTAGTCAGTAAGGGTAAAAAGGAGTTATACGGAGGCTCACCCATGAACGATATCCTCCTTACTTTAGAGGGAAAGCTGCTGTAACTTCAGAAATGGAATGGTGATCTCACTCTAAGTAAGCAACAGAACAAACAGCTGCCTGATGCAGAGTGGAAACTGATATGAATATGAATAGCCTCTTCACTCTTTCTCTTCCCTCTTCTGTGTGTTGCTATTTGAGCAGGAAATCCACGATGAGTGGCTACAACAACAACCAATAAAATAAACTTTCTTCCACTAAAAGCTCAAGTGTACTAATGAGCTGTAACTGTTGAGGTTACACCCAGTCTTTAGTTTGGTGTAGATATTGCAGGAGAACTGTGTCAGTCTATGGTAGCCAAAAAGAATCCTAGGAATGTAGAACACAACAAAAGGAGTCTGGTAGACCCCTTTCAGACTACTAAGTTTCATTAAAAGTCCATGGCTTGTGAAAAAATGCTGAAAAGGGGCTATCAGATTCCTGTTATGTTCAGAATATCTCACAAATGTACTGTGCTTGCTAAAAATAAAAGAATTTAACAGGATCTGATCTGATTTTAAGGGAGACTTTGCTTTATGTGGTCAGGGATCAGCTCCACATTCTTAGGATTTTTCATTGTTCTTTTAATTTCAGTGTAAAATGAGTGATTCTGAATATTTTTTACAGCAATGCTTCCTAAATCTTTTCTTTCATATCCCTAAACTACTTATCAGAAAGTCCTTTTTAAACACTTATCAGAAGGCATTTAAATATCCCTATTGTGATTGGTTGATGGCTTCATGTGTCATTATCCAAAGAAAAATCACTTTTATCCATTTTTGGGTATAATTTACCCAAGTTTGAGAACTGTTAAGGAGGGTGTAAACATAAACCAACTTGTTTTAAGAGCAAGGAATAGAACTAAGGCTAGATAGAAGTATGAGCAGAGAAGAATTCAATCATGAGTCACTAATTCAGAGTCAAAAATCAGCCAAGCCAGAAGAAAAGATCAACACTCTCATGACATAATAAGTCAGGGATCACAGCAGAAGATATTACAATGGGTGTGTAAAATTCTGATTCCAAAAAATCATTAGGAATTAGTTTCACGACTAGCTGAATATTAAGCAAAACAAATGAATCTAGCCCACATCTAGACAAATGTTCTATGTGCTTTTCTGAGACACAAGTGTCTACTCTAGCAAATAGGAATTAAATTTACATTCCTGAGAGTAACGATTACCCAGACAGGACAAAATAGCCTAAAATGACTCCCAGACTCATTGCTTAATGCTTAATAGCAGATACTGGACACAGTTACAGGATAATGCAAAATCACAGATGTAGAAATAGGGCAAGGTAAATAATAAGTGAATAATAGGGCAAGGTAAATAATAAGTGAAACAGGTTGAAAACATTGATGTTTAAGATAATTAGGACAAAAATCTTATGCATTCAGTGGTTTCACACCACAGCTAGATTTGTTACTAGCTGCATACTGTAGTTTGTAGTTTGACATGTTAATTTATTAATTACATTTGTTAACTGCACACTCAGAATGACTTTGGGTGGCAGACAGATTAAAAAACATAAAAAGTAAAAAAAATCAAAACCTTAATAAAGAAAATATGATCAGACAGGTAAACAACAAACACAATAACCGTAAACCAATTCACAGTGAGGCTTATTTCAATGTATGGAAAAATGCCAGATCTTTAAGGCTTGTCTAAAAGATAGCATGGTAGTGGTAATCTTTGTCCATGATTAGGCGAAATAAGTTAAAACCATATAACTCTGCATGGATTTTCCCTGCAGCTATGTGGAACAGACCGTGAAGAATAGTAGAATGTTAATTCTTTTTAATACCAATAGGTAAAGCGATCACCTTAGAATTGACAGTTAAGATACTGAAGTAGTGAATAGCTTTTACTTTTTAGGATTGACAATCAACAGTAAAACTCAATAATCAAGAAATATATCACAGACTAGTTTTGGATAAAACAGAAGAGAACCCTTGGAAAAGATATCTAGATGCTCTGATACATCTTAGAATTATGCAGGTAGTGGTTTTCTATGTGACACTTTATGGAAATGAAAGTTGGACTTTGGAGAAGCAGATAGAAAGAGTTCTGATTAGCACTGATGAAGTTACCTAGTTTGGTTAATAAAAGTATTTATTGCTATTAGTACTGACTGTATGAAAAAGCACAGCGGATTTGTGGGTTAGTGTTATTCCTGGGATGTTATGTCTGCATCCCATGCATACAGCCAAGGACTGAAACAGAATTATTGTAGAGTTATTAGGATTTTTTCTCCCACGTTCTTAACCTGGTGCAAAGATGTCTTTATAATAATTCCAATTCAACTCCAGTTCACAGTGGAAGCAGCTTAAATTTGACTTTAGCTGGCCCATTTTAGCTGATTCCTTCTTTTTGCTGTGGATAAGACGTGGGACATTTTGTCAATAGTACAGTTGATTATCAGTGACTGGGATCTGCCCAGCACCTTTGAGCAAATTTGGGGCATTGTGGGCATATCTCTTTCCGTTTAGTCCCTGGGCAATATTTTCCAGGGCTATTTATTTGGGCAGCAGGACAGTAGCTGACAAAGCACAAGAGTGAAGGACCTATATTTTCAGCCATCAACATACCCCAATCAACATCTAAAAAGCCACTTACAACAGTCACTATAAATACCATACACAGAACAGCACACACTCTGCTAGAGAGAAGTTCTCTGAGGATGGGCTCCAGCATGAGTTCAAAAGCTGGGAAGATAGAACCTCAGATTGGATCCTGTATCCTCATTCACAATGCTACTGATGCATCCCACATCAAAGACTATCTTGCATTTGCCCAGGTTGCCTTCATCCCATTCCATAATCCCCTTCCCATAACAACATGGGGTTTGAATGTAGCTGCCGGTTATTTCCCTTCCCCTACTTGTTTAACCCTTGCTTCATTTCTACCACCCAGTTCATACATCTCAACAGTGATGAGCTAAAACAAGGGAGAAAGAAAAATTAGGAAGACATTAAATTGCTTCAACTTTGCTGGGATCCAGAGGGCAGAAAGATTCTAACCTCCCAGCTTCAGTGCTGTTGTAGTGAAGTTGGAGCAGTCTCATCTTTCCAATAAACATGTCTTATTGGAAGGGAAGCAGTTTGGTGCCTCTGAGTTTTTGGGACTGAAATGTCCTCCAGGTACCGTACCCAGTGACAAAGAACTTTGAAAATTGCAGTCCAAAATAATTTGAGTGTACCAGATTATCTACTCCTGTCTTTTTAGTGAAAATTGCAGTCAGCAATTTTATGTAAGGTTAGGAGTAATGTGCAAGATAAGGGACTGGATCTCCTTTTGTATCTGGTACCAGTAACTGATGAACATTAGTCCTGCTGATATCCAAATATTGATCACCTTTCTTCATTTCTCATGGAATTAATTCTTCCTAGCTTTATCCCACTGTCCCAGGTGTGTGTTAGAGACTATCCTGGAGACACTAATTGAAGGTGCTTTCAAATTAATTCAAAACAACCCCAATTTGTAAGGAAAAGACTTACCGCACATCAACTGGCTAGATGTTCCTCACAGTCATATAGTTTCTTATTTAGAGCGTGCTTGTTGGCATCCAGAAGCCAGAATGAAGCAAAGTACACAACAGCCAAAGAAGCTGAGTAGAAAAACAATCCCTGTGGAGTGTCTTGTGAGCAGCAGTTTAAGAAGTTAATGAATGCTGGAAAACTGTGAGGCAGTCAAAACAAACCAGCCAGAGTCAAGGAATGCATTTGTGTTCCTAAAGTCAAAGAGCAACTGGAAGCAGAATAGTCATGGGGATATGACCTAAGCCAGTCAGGCCTTCCCTTGTTTTTTTTCTCAGGATCTGCTAGTTATATTCCTAGCTCTTGCTTTCTCCCATTCTGCTCCCTCCCTACCCACTCCTTCCACCCACTCCTAATTGCTTGGGATTTTTAATAGTAACTAGCCCTAGAAGAATGCATTTTAAGAGTAAATATTTGGATTTAAGGAGCTTTGGTGCTTCTGTTTCCCACAAAGGTTCAAGGTTCAAAAGGCTTTTTATAGACCTCAATATTGAACTCTATTCAACAATAAGCAACTGAATGGCAAGAGATGTAAAATTATGTTCTAGGCAGGAAAAACAAGCCAATACACTGATACACAGGTTCATGATGGATAGTATGTAGCTCAGGAGTAATATTGATGAGAAGGATCTGGATGTCCTGGTAGATCACAGATTAAGCATGAGGCAACAATGTGCTATAGCTGCCAAAAGAGCCAGTGTGATCTTGAGCAGGCTCAGCAGACATATAATGGTAAGAATGTTGTTCCAATGCACTAGTTAGACTGCATATCCAGTACATCCAGTTTTGGTCACTACAATAGCAATAGCATTTAGACTTACTGTATATACCACTCCATAGTGCAGTGGCTCCCAATCTTTTCTATACCCCCACCCCTAGAACGCTTCTGATATATATTCTCGCACCCCTTACTAATGCAAAATAATGGCAACAAATTATGAATGTACACTATAATTTTGAAAACTCAAGTTTTCCCACCCCCTGGAATATCGTCTCGCACCCCATTGGGAACCCCTATCATAGTGTTTTTACAGCTCTCTCTGAGTGGTTTACATCAGCATATTGCCCCCAACAATCAGGATCTTCATTTTACCGACTTCAGAAGGATGGATGGTTGAGTCAACCTAAAGCCCACCAGGATCGAACTTCAGACTTTGGTTAGAGTTAGCTTGAAATATTGCATTCTAACCAGGGCTCCTACAACATAAGGATGCTGAGGAAACGGAAAGAGTACAGAGAGTCAAAGGTCAAAACTAGTGAGAAATTTGAAAGCTAAGTCTTATGAAGAAGTTATTGCTGGTCTTCAGCTTATTTATTTATTCATTTAGCAACTGTTCCAAGTTATGACAGCCCTGAAAAAAATGACTTATGACTGGTGCCTGCATATATGCAACATCCCCACAACTATACGATCACAATCTGATTAGTGTATCATAGAATTATATAATTCTATGATACACTAATCAGAGAGGTGAACTTTGAGTAACATTGAAACTCAGAATTTTTAAGGTTTATTCACTGCTTATATAACAACGCTTTCTACAATCTTCAGCCTTTTATATTAAATATTCAGATCAGATGCTACTTGACTACAAAAAAATTCTCAGTTAGGAAATTACAAGTTATGACAAAATATTTATATGCATGAAAAACAAACCTGTGGAGTTTGGGTTTTTTTTTTTTTTTTTTGCAACCAATTGCAAAATTATAATTTGAGAGGGCTTACTACTGGGAAGCTATTTCCAGTTCTGAGAAATTCTATTCCTTCTATAATGGTTCTGCTATTTTAAGAAGAGCAATAAATAAGAGAGAAAGAGGGAATGAAGAGCCAGATGATACTAGGCATTGCTTCTTTTTCTGCGGGATAATAATTTCCAAGATTCTTTCAATTGTTATTCAATAACACATCCTAGAATTTGCAGAACTTTTTACACTGAATATAAGATGGCTTCATGCCTGCCCACTTAAAAAGACAAAAAACCTTCAGATCCTGGTGAATGCTGGATTAGGTAGAACTGTGCACAGACTTTTCTATCCACACCCCAGTTCTCCCATTTTTCCATGCTGCAGAATTCTTTATGCTCCCCCTCTCCATTTCAGAGTAAGGCAAGAGGAGAAAGAGTGACTTTCCTCAAGAAACAAAACATTTACTTTCCATTTAGGTCACAAAAGGCTGCAGATGTCAAACTGTTAGTCTCTAAATTTTGCTGTATTATAGTATACAACAATGGGCATACTTATGTGCATACAGTCACATACACAATTATTTCTGGGTAATCAAAAGTACAAAAGTAATCAGAGGTGCAAAAAGTAACATAGACATGCTTTCTTTTGTTATCACATTTTGATGTGGATAGAAAATAAAATAAAGAAGTAAAATGCTGGATCAAAATACTGGAAAAAAATTAACAAAGGCATTATTTGGTTTTGGCTATTTCTTCTGTTTTTTCCCCCTTCCCAATTGTTTCAATCCAGATTAAGACTTTCTCCTTCTGGAACACTTCAGCTTGCAAACCATGTAACAAGAATAACAACCCAGAGAACTGCATAGCTGTGACCAGTGGTTCAAAGTGTAACTTCATTCTTCCTTTGAGAAGTACAATTCAGGAAAATTTTCAATTGTGCTGAAATGAGTAGACTTACATGGAACTCAAGGACAAAAGTGAAACCAAGTACTATAAAATCTGGGGAACAATTTTATGATTGGATAGACAATAAGAGGGTAGCCAAGATAAATGTATAGTGCTAGAATAAAATACAGATTATAGACAAATGTATATTTAAAAGATAAATAGATATATAGAAATAAGGGAAAAAGTGTTAATAGTGTATTATAAATAATGAGCAAAGTTCAAGAACTATATGTCTATATGAATACTAATACTATTGTAAAATGTTGAAAGATGTATGGAACCAGTGACATCATATCTATGTCCAATGTGTTTTTAATTTTGTATTATTAATAAAAATTTATATATATATAAAAAGTGAAGTACAATTCAAGCTCAGGTTTCAAAGCTTTATTTTTCTGATCCCATCAAACAATGCTTCGATCCTAGCTTGTAACTTCCTCATGTACTTTACCTCTTCAGAGAATGTCTTTCCCTTATGACATGCAATGAATAAAGCTCCCACACAATCAAGACTGTTCTGTTTAATGCATTACAGGTAGTCCTCAATTTATGACAATTCCGACCAAAATTTATGTTGCTAAGTGAAGCATTTGTTGAGTTTTGCCCATTTTATGACTTTTCTTGCCACAGTTATTAAGTGAATTATTGCAGCTGTTAAGTTAGTAATCCAGTTGTTAAATGAATCTGGCTTCCCTATTGACTTTGCTCATCAGGTTGCAAAAGGTGATTGATCACATGATCCTGGGGCACTGCAACCATCATAAATATGAGCCAGTTGCTAAGCATTTGAATTTTGATGACATGACCACGGGGAAGCTGCAATAGTTGTGTGAGAAACAGTCATAAGTCACTTTTTTCAATGCCGTGGTAACTTTGAATGGTCACTAAACAGTTTGTAAGTCGAGGAATATCTGTACTTGAACCAGCCTCTCCCACTAGTTGGTTGGTCCTCTGCTTCTGAGGATTATACTATTCTCCTAGCCTAAAAATATACTTCAGAAACAATTGTGATCTTCTTTCTTCCAAAATAAGCCAATGGCTAGAACACATCAGTGGCTATTTTTTAAAAACTGCAAACTTTGAGAAGTTACGAGTATGTCAAACTGTAAATATATTTGTATATGACTTTTTCTTGGCACTTAACATGAAGTGTTTGACACTGACATTAAATCTATTACCATTACCCTATTTGACTCCTCTCTGTGCTCTGATTCTGTAACAAAATACTAGTGCTAAAGTTCATATCAGCAGGCTGCCAGACTGAAAAATTTGGGGCATTCTTCAGCCTGGCTTGGTACATTTTTGTTTCAAGGAATTAGATGAAACATTTATAACAGAACAGAATAACAGAGTTGGAAGGGACTTTGGAGGTCTTCTAGTCCACCCCCTACTCAAGTAGGAAACCTATACCATTTCAGATAAATGGTTGTCCAACCTCTTTAAAACTTCCAAAGTTGGAGCACCCACAACTTCTGGAAGCAAGCCATTCCACTGATTTATTGTTCTGTCAGGAAATTTCTCCTTAGTTCCAGGTTGTTTCTCTCCTTGATTAGTTTCCATCTTGTTATATGAAGCTAGGGAGTTCCACTGGTAGTAATGATTTGTTGGATCAAATCCTTTGGCTCAATGTTTTTCAGAAAGCAAGTGCTTAGTTTCATTGGCTGGCAAATCACATATGCTCTACTCACATTTCCCAACGTCAATTCATATACTCTGTGAATAATAGGGGAAAGTGATAGTAATATTATTGGTAAAGAAGAAAGCACCAGAAATAGGCCAAGAATGTGGCCCACTTTATCTAGATGATGACAGTATTCAAGGGAGGAATAGCTCAGCAATACAGTATGTGGTTGACATAGAGAAAATACCAGGCTCCATTAAATAGCAGTGCCTTGAGCAGCCACATCCAATTCAAGAGCTTTTCCCAATTCAGGAGGAAATGAATAGATTAGTTAAACCAAGGGTGTAACGAAGTAGTCTTATCTTCATAAGTAGCAAACAGGCATTAACTGAACATTAAATGCGAGAGCTCAAATATGGTACCCGTATAATGCAGCAAAAGCCATCATTCTTAAAGGTAAAATTTCATACTTTGCAACAAGACACATCACCTTGTTTGAGCCAAAGATCTTTCAGTGATGAAAGGCTTAGTTCAGTGATGAATATAAATGTAATAAAATTAAAAACTGATTATCACTCTATGTATTTTCAGTAATTTTCAAAAAATTTTGAAGGTAGTGGAGTACATGAAACCATCAAGTTGTACACCAATGCATTTATGAAAATATCCCATATGTGTTCTCAATATTGCAGATAATAAGGAATGGACTTTGAAGAAACAAGAAACTGATTGATGCTTTTGAACTTTGATGTAGAAAACTGCTGAGAACTCAATGAACAGCCAAGAGGGGGGAAAAAAGATAATTGAACAAAACAGTCCAGAATTTTCACTCAAGACATAAATGACCTGGCTAAAATTATCCTACTTCAGACTCTGAAGGACCTAACTCTTTAGAGAAGATTCTAAATAAGGGAAAAGTTTAAGGAGACAGAAGATGAGGACATCCAGCAACAAGGTGGATGGACTCAATTACAGTGATGATGAGTATACCATTGGAAGACAAGACCTAAAGGACCAGGTTAGGGAGAGTTTGGGAAAAAAATTACTAATGTGGTTACCAAAAGTCAATACTGACTTGATGATACATAATCAATCAATCAATCAGACAAAATTGAGAGGACTTTTGGCTTCCTAACACTGTTAATAATCTGTATGCAGCAATATTTAAACTGAGGACCTTCTAGTTGTATAGAAACAGAATTATGGAATTGGAAAGCAGTACATGAATCATTTAGTTCAACCTTCTGCAATGCGTAAAAACAAAACAAAACAAAACTATCCTTGAGAGGTAGTAGTCCAGCTTCTTTTTAAAAACCTCCAGACATAGAGAATCCACAACTTCAGCAGGTTAATTTTTCCATTATGCACAGATCTTAGGAATCAGGATTTTTTTTCCTTATCATTACGGAAATTCTGGAAAAGTAAAAGGTGGCAGGCTCTAACTAAATCATGTCAGACTCATCAGAGCAATGAGTTTTGTGAAAAGCTGAGATAAGAATAGCTGCCTATCAAGAAAAAAAGCCAGGCCTGACTGAACTATCCCAGATCTAGACAATACACATTAGAATTCTGAACGGAACATATGTAAGTAGAAATCTGGCAATTGCCATCAACACATGCAATTAATTTTGTTACATTTAACCAATGCTGGGCTACCCATTACTCTTTCAGATACAAATAAATGAAGAAATAAAAGTTTAAGTTAAAAGCAAAATAATCTTTGTAACACAAAAGGACAGCTTTTATCTACTAATTGGGCTTGAAAAGTTCAATCAATAGCGGGCTTAGATGCAACTATTGGTCTGTATAGTCCTCAATGGTCTATTCTTCCTAATGGCAACTCCTGGAAGATATTTTTTCCTATTAGCTGCTATCTCAACCTTTTAATTTAACTGATAATACTAAGGATCGAACCTAGAACATTCTGAATGAGAATAATTTTCAGCTATATCACTAAATCTTTCCAACCACAATTTGCATTTGTATAAAGAACTTGTGTCTGAATCCTACCAGTCACATGTGAATTAAGACTCTATAAGTTAAAAAAAACCATTATTTGGCTTCTAAAGAACATTATGTAGTCTCTCTCCTGCCACAGCCCCTCTATTCCACTAAACTATATTCAGCAAAATCCTCGGTGGCTTAACTGGAAGAGCTTCAAAGGCATTTGTTCATATAAATAATGATAGATACAGTAGTAATTCAGGAATTCTATGATTTTTTTTTTTTTTGTCTCTTCGAGTCAGCTTTGATTCCTGGCAACTGCCTAGACAGGTCTCTGTAGTTTTATTGACAGGATTTCAGAAGTGGATTGCTATTGTCTTCTTCCTAGGACTGAGAGAGTAACTGATTCAAGGTCACTGCCCAAAGCAGAACTACAACTGATCTAGATATCCACTCTTCCGTTTTCTAGCTCGACACCTAAACATTACACCAGACTGGCTCTATATGATTTATACATATTTTATATGCTATTGGTGGACTACTTGAAGAGTCATTTCAGCTTTTTAGAAGATGCCATTCTCCACCCCTCATACCTAAACAGAATTAGACTACTAGAGTATGGAGTGCAACTTCATTTTGTAAAGAGGCAGGCATTGTGAAGTAAAACTTCATTCATGCTTGTCAGGTTCTCTTCAGTTCTTCAATGTCTTTAAAGTGTTTCCTCTTCAGAAATGGTTGTTATATCCACCTTGCCACACCTACTTTTGAGTTAAGGTACACTGAACATGGATTGTTACAGGTATATTTCCATATTAGCAAAGTATTCATGAACAATTTGAGCTATAATCAATAGGGCCTCTATGAAAACAGTATAGATTTTTCGTAAAATCCAATACAATCCATTTGCACAACACTCTACTCTTCGGTGGATTAATGTCTTACATCCTGCAAATCAGGATTCGAGATATTCTTTAAAGATTATTAACAGAGAATATGTTCCTTCCAATAACAACTTACAGACCACTTTTTTTTTCTATTTTACAAAGCTGCAAAGCGGTAGCATATGCGTTCCAAAATACATCAGGGGTTTGTCTCATTATGTCTGGTCAATGTTTGGCATAGCCAAATGGGTATGTTTTTTGCTACAAAGTACATAATTAAAGACAAGGAAATTCATATAGAAGTGGTTCCTATTCATGTAAAAGACTTTATAAAGGGTGGTGTTTTAGAACTATTGTACTAACGCACTAACCCGGTAACCCTTCCCTATTTAAAGGCAGGTTTGACTGACGGAATGCTTCAAAAGACAGAAATCCCTTTTGAGTTGCCTATTCTTTTGTATTTTGTATTCTTTATATTTTATATTTTCTTTTTAATAATTCCACAAAATACAAATTTATTCAGTGAGGAAAGTCCAAGTGTGTTGTTCTTTTTAAAAATGAAAGGACACCGTGCAATACTTCCATTTGCCAGATGCTCTCTCCCTAAGCCAGCAAACTAAGAACCTCAGTTTACAGTCATGCAGCAGAAACATAAAGAGGTACTTCAGAAATAGGAATCCAGACTGCAGGTCCTGACATTTATAGATGCAAAGAAGTGCTCCTGGATGCAGGAGGTATATTTGGGTAAGGCTGAAGCCCCATCTGTTTGTTATCTTTCAGTTTTTGCACTATGATTCTAGCGACGTCCTCTCCTTGACTGTCAGTAGTATCAAGCAGTTGCCTGACTCTTGAGGTCCTTGTAGGTTTGGTGTTAACAAGTTCATAATCCTCTTTCATGATTAAATCCCTGGAAAGAAGGGCATCTAAACACTGGTTAATGCAAGTGTCAGTCATCTGATGGACAATATCCTCTCTTTTAGTTTGGATCCAATGATGAGCTACAGCGAAATCTTGTGATTGCATAGTCCTCAATATAAAGTCTAATATAGAGAAGGAAAGAAACAACAAAATCTGACTCAGTCCTAAAAGAAAAATAACATCAATCTACACAGAGCAACTTAAGAGAAAAGAACATATTTTCCTATTTTTTTTTAGATAACAGTATGATACTTCAAAACTACCATATTTCCTTTCACCCTTATTAAAATAAAAGCTGTGTTCTCCCATTATTCACTACATACTAGCTCTTCCTTCAGCACCTCAGCACGTCCTTAATTGTGTTATCTACCACTTTATCACATCTGGAGACACAGCCATTGCTTTTGTTAGATAAAGACAATGGCCAGTTATGATCAAATGCATTTGAAGGTGAAAGAAGGTAACATAGACCATACATATTGTTGCAGTGTGAAAATCCCAAACTTTAGATTAACATTTTACCTAAATATTAGGGTCACTTAAAGCATTTGGAGACTGTTCTTCAGAGTTATTAAGCAGATAGCGTGTTTCAAAAGTCAGTGCGTCCCACACTTTGAAGTCATCTCCAACATGAAAGAGACAATCCTGGCAGAAATATGTCCACACTTTTCAGAAATAAGTGCCTTCTGTACATGTACCTCCAAATGTTTTGTACAACATAGCTTACACAAAGACTCTTTTTTCATGATTAGTTATGTTTCTTTTAGATGTTCACTTCATTTTTTATTCTACTTATTTTGTTCTAAATACCCTTTTAAGGAACACATTTTTAATGTTATTTAATATTGTAAATTGAAATATCAGAACATTAATTATAATCCTCATTGTTTAAAGCAATCACAAACTCTGCAGCGACATGTAGATTCTGTCCAAAAGTTCTACCTTCTCTATAGTTTCCACTTTCTTCCATACTCGTAAACTGTGTATAAGCTGAAACCATAAAATGATTTAATAGTTCCAGTATATACTATCTGAAGAATTCTATTTCTGATCAATCTTTGTGATAGATAGTATGTACATTGCTACCAAGAAAAAATAGTTAAGTTTTCTTTTTATAAATTCCCCCATAAAGTAACTCTCACAAAGATGTAAAAGAGAATAATGCATGCACACTTGTAGAAACGGTGTTATTCTAGGGATCTGATCCAGTTATATGATAAAACAAACTGATCATGAGTAGGGTTCAAAACTCTCAGCTGCATACCTGGATTAGCTCCCGAAAGCTGCAGCAAGCCTGGTGTGGAATTTGATGAATTAGAACTATCTGTGTTAGATGAAGAACTTTGTTGAGATACATAAGACTCAGTACTCTGAGAGTGTGGAACATAACTGAGCAGCGAGTGTGGTTCATCCTTAACTATCACAAAACAAAAGCATCTTATTAATTAATAAAAAAGAATAAAAATAAAAACAAAGCACAAAATAAACCCAGAACTACTCCGGCATTTACCTACAAATTACCTAACATCCCAGCCACACTGCAAACACAACCAGTAGATTGATTTCTCTCATTATCCTAACAGATAACATCAAACATTATTTTCTATCAATCTAAAAGCACTTTTGTTCTCCTGAAACATAATCTGGTATCTTCCAAATGTGTTGCATTGTACAGTACGGCTGTTGGTAGTGCAGTTGGGAGTGCTGCTCAGAGATGAGACCAGCTGCAGCCCAATGGGTCTAGGAGTACCAGGTTAGTATAGGTACTTGCTGCTTCTTAAAAGAATGGCCCTGCAATCAAATTCCCAAATCAGAAAGGCAGGATATACTAGAAGGAAAGACAAATGGATTGAAAAAGAAAGCAGGGAGATCAAGGCCACAATGAAATGTTAAACATAAAGTGATTGATATTTATAGTTGCAACCAAGTTTTTTATTTTTTGTTGGTATTTTTTTTTCTGCTAGAAAACTAAATGTTGCATCTTGGCATAGTGAGACTGAACTTACTTTTAAATCTACAGATCTAGGGTAAATCTATCTTTTATTACACAATTTGATTTTTATTTAAAACAATATAGTTGGAATCTATCTATTTACCCACATAATACTTTAAAAAGAATATTGTTTATTGATACTGATTATTGTAGAATACAGGTAGTCTTCGACTTACGACCACAATTAAACCCAAAATTTCTGTTGCTAATAAGACATTAAATGAATTTTACCCCATTTTACGACCTTTGTTATAGTTGTTAAGTGAATCACTGCAGATGTTAAATTAGTAACACAGTTGTTAAGTGAATCTAGTTTCCCCATTGAATTTGCTTGTCAGATGGTTATAAAAGCTGATCACATGACCATTATAAATATGAGTCAGTGCTAAGTGTCTCAATTTTAATCACATGACCATGGAGAATGCTGCAATGGTCATAAGTGAGAAAAATGGTCATAAGTCACTTTTTCAATGACATTGTAACTTTGAAAGGTCACTGAATGAACTGTTATAAGTCAAGGACTACCTGTACTAATCTTCAGTCTAAAACAGTGGTTCTCAACCTGTGGGTCGGGACCCCATTTGGGGTCGAACAACCATTTCACGGGTGTCGCCAAACAATGCAGTCCGCCATTTTTTTTCCCTTTTCCTTAGCTGTGCTACTCCCTTTTATTCTATTGGCTTTTGAAAGCCAATAGAATAGGCTCTCTTGAATAGAGTCTAATTCTATTGGCTTTCAAAAGCCAATAGGAATTGTCCAGGCTGTCTCTGCCCTGCTGAGCCCGCCAAAAGTCCCATTCTGCAAATGGTGCTGCACCAGTTGAGTAGTCCTTGACTTACGACCGGTTGAGTAGTCCTCGACTTACGACCGGTTGGGGGTCACGGCATTAAAAAGGTTGAGAACCACTGGTCTAAAATATCCTGGATATCTGTTCAACACTCTGTTTTGGTTCAATTCATCATTAACATTCTGTGAACCAGAGAGACACTATCTTGTTATGCTTTATCCATAAGAGGTGAGGGGTCCTTGGTGCTCTCTGAGTGTGGTTATTTTCTTGCAGATGTTTCCTTACCCCAACTAAGTAATATCATCAGTGCTAGTCTGATGACTCTAGCACTGATAAAGTTGCCTACTTTGCGTAATGAAATGGCTTTAAGAAATCAATCAAGCTCAGACAGCACAAAGGATGCCTCATTTCAAATCTAAGCTCCAAATATTCTCCTTTATTGATATCCATAAGAGGATTATGTAATTGCCACTAGTAAACTTCAATTGTGTGCAGAGGACATACCATCTGAAAGGAGGTTGCATGGTTTTGATATATTCTGGGGAACACTTGATAGATAAGATTGATCATCTTGGGATGAACAGGAATTCTGGAAAGGACAGAATCACATGGAACAAAGATTTTTGGTTTAATTTTTTAATTGGCAAAATTTAGCAAACAAATACAATGACCACAAAATGCACTAGTGATTATTTTTAAATTCCTATTCACATATCAGTAATTAAAATAAATGCACACAAAAAGAAAAACTTACAATAAAATTCTATATAGTATCAATTTTGTTTCAACATGGAATTAGTTTAATCTTTAAACTCATAATGGGGTCTCAATACTAGCTGTCCAGAGCCGCATATGGCCCATGGGCTGGACATACCTGAAGTACATGAAGTAATGGCTTGACTCCATGTACCCCACATATATGAAACATCTTGTTTTTTTTCTCTGCACATTTTTCCTATGCAGTATGAATCTAGTAGGACATATTTTTGAACAGAAATAGCATTGCAGATTTCTCAATGGTACCCTTAATACCATTAATTCTACTTTATATTGAGGTCTGAGGGCATATAGAATATTTTACTCATTCTTATGAGTAAAAATTTGTTTAGTTTGAATTTTTCAGAATGTATAATCAATATAGCTAAAGTCTAATCTGTCTGAGGGTGCCAGGAAAGCTATTTTAAAATGTTACATTCATACCAAAATTGTTGGTTATAAATACTACACACAAACACTAATTGCCACAGCTGTATTGTAGTTCATTTAGAATGCAGCAAAAGTACTGCAAAGATTTTTGGGGAAAACTAAAGCTAAATTCATTGTTCAATTCCTGCATATAGCTCTTCATCAAGTGACATCATTTTCTCAGCCTTAAATAATGATACACCTCCCCCACCCATAATAAAAGAGCACTGTCACTTGCCTTCAAATTTCCACATAAAAATTACCAATGTTCTTTTATTTTTTGTCATTTTAGTAATAACAAACTGACATAAATTATATCTATACTTTTAATTAATGACAACTCTGTGAAGAACATCTCACTGAATGTGACTAGCCCAAAGTCACCTGGGAAAACTTCCATGGCCAATGGTGTACTTGAACCCAAGATTTCCAGGCCTAACCTAACATTAATAACTGTATAGATTCTCTACCACTGTTATTGCCATTAAATCAATTCATTATGCCTATTCTCTGATTCTACAGGGATATTCATCAAATTCAGGGTCAAATTAAAGGTTATCCCTAGTATGATCAAAGACTGAGGTGAAATTGTATCACCTTTTTATATGGTCATTTGCTCTTCTCCAAATGTCTGCGGTGTATCTCTGTGAATGCATGAAAGTGATTTCCCCAATGGAAAAAGCCATTTTTTCTTCCTTTAAGAACCTGTGGTAAGGATGCTGTATTTTAAAGGTAATGCAAATTCCCATCTGTCCCAAATTAGGTAGTTAACATAGCAGGAGGCAGCCTAAAATCACTTGATAATCTATACTGGTGTAAAGTTTGTCTCCCCACCTTCTTCCCAAAGAAAACTAAAAAAAATCTGATCTTTCAAGGACGAGCCCTACCCCAAAGTTCAGAGATTTCCACACAGGCATTTCCCAAACCCTTTCTAGAGGTACTGGGGGTTAAACAGCACAGAGAATATCAGCTACTGAGTGACTGAAATGACCCTGAATGTTAGATATCTTTCACTGTCTTCAACAGAGGAATGTATTATTCATGCAAATATTATATAGCTTCTGAAATGATACTGAATTATAAGTGCTGGAAGATCTATTTATTTCAAGGAAGACAACAGTGGTCCGAAAACATGACACCTCTCTGTGCCTATATGTTATCTCAGTTTCACCCTTTGGAAGCTATTCTTTTTAAAATTCATATCTATTCTGTGGCATTCAAACATGGAGCAGGTGTCCCTCTGTATCATAGTATGGTAAGCAGGAATCAGTACCATATATGCCAGCGTATTAGGTGACCCGATGTATAAGACGACCCCCGTCTTTGGCACTGAGTCACATTCCTAGAACATCGTCTTATACACCGGAAACTACCAGTATTTCCAGCGTATAAGATGACCCCCGTCTTTGGCGCCAATTTTAATGCTTGCGGAAGTTGCTTTATACGCCGGCATATACGGTAATTATCCATGTTGGGCATTTGCCATTTATCAGAGTTTATCTCCTGCCTTGAGCGGATATATGAATATGCTAATTTATAGGGTGCCTATGATTAGCATAGTATAAAATTGTTAGCTATCCCCTGAAAGAGCCTCAACATAGGTCTGAAATGCTGAAAAATGCTGTATGTTTATCCTTGGCATTGTTTAGCTCACCATAAATCTTTGCATCACTTGCTGAGACTTAATGTGTTCCAACTTCCAACCCAATATAGTTTACACATGAAATAATCTTATGTATTCTCTATGACTCTCTACAAAACCAACCATTGATCTTTGGCAAAAAAAACCAAAACAACAGTTTAAGAATATTAAGGTGTTTATGTTAATAATAGAAAAAATGTTTTACCTCTTGTATACTAATGTTCAGTGGTATATTTAAAGATATTGATTCATTACTGGATATCTTGTTAGGCAAATGAATACATGTCCACTCATACTGTGCCTGAAAGAGTTATCAGCATAAAACAAAATGGTGTTATGAAATCAAAGCATAATTATGAGATAAAATATCCAAGAGTCCTGCGTCTGAGTAAAAGCACAATTTGGGACATGTGCTTACCTACAGCCAACTGCTTGCAAAGATTTTTATTGTTTAACACAGCAATAAATAAATTTATTCTATCAATAAACAATAAATAAACAATTTCTGTTTACATTATATACATATATTAAACTATAATAATACAAATAAACAATACATAAATAAATGAACAGGATATCCCTTTAGCTAAACATGCTTATAGTTCTATCTGTGATCAGGCATCCAAACAGAGCAGTTTTCTGATTACATATATCTCAATGGACTTATGATCCCATAAGACCCCATATATCTTAGCATAACTCAGTCTGGGGAAGTGAACATTCTGTATATGATTAATAGTGCGAGAATTCTAGCTTCATATATATGGATGTCCTGTTTCTTTTTGGGAATAATTTCTACTCATAACAATTATAATATGAGCACTTACTTTGGCCCTCTTTATCTCTATTACTGCTTCAAGCATAGGTATCTCTTCAAAGGTCCTCATCACAGATTCTAGTTCTATTAAGCAACCTAAACAAAGACAGTCACTATTAGGTCTCTTAACAGAACATTTAAATTATGGAAATTACATTCCTGAAAAATATTTTATAACATACTCCCTAAGGCTAGTTTCAAGGATGTCAAAAACAGCTGTTCCTGGGTAAAATTAGCTATGCTGGTCACATAACCATGGAAATTATCTTCAGACAACACTGGCTCTCTCAGCCAAGGAACGGAGAAGAGCAAAATTCTACATTCAAGGAAAACTACAGTTAATTTTAAAGGAAAAAAAGATAAGTAATTCATTTTTTCAACTTTTGCACTAAATATTGAAAAGAGAAGGTGAAGTGGAAAGCTACACAGGCAGGTTATAACCTCATTTGACAATTTTAAGATTTTTTTTTGTTGCAATTTGTTCTTTTGAAAGAAAAACAACTCTTATTAGAATCTTCAAAATGTCCATATTTTGGTTAAATAATACCTGCAATTAAATATAAAAGGCAACCACCGGTACATTTAAATTTTAAAATCTGAAACATCAGGTTTATTGCATGTTTTGGAACTGTAGTTTTGACATTATTTCACATAATTACTATTTTAATGAGCACTTAATTCTGGTTAAAATTAAGTATGTTTCCATAAACCTATGTTACAATGTAATAATGCATTATTTCAGATACTACATGACCTAAACTGAAACTATTACATAAACCTTGCTTATATCTGATTAAAGTGTAAAGTGACTCTTAACACAGAAGCTAAGAAATCATATGTTTTTGATTTTAAAACTTTCCAGAATTTTCATAAAAAAGTTCCTGTCATACCATATTCCAAAACCTGGCAAAAGATTTAAATCCTTTAAATCTTAAGAAAGTATTTCTCACCAAATTATTATTATTTGTTATTATATTTATTATTTACTTTCACCAAAACTGAAAAAACAACAACAAGATTAAGATTTCAGGTATTCCTATTATAATTTAAAACAATGACTTTTAGAATTTTCCTTCTTAATGAAGAGAAAAAGAAATACTGAATGAACACACCAAATCACAATCTATGTAGTATATGATATGATTTTGAGTGCATTTCAGTGCTAAATAACTGGCATACATTGTTTCTGAGTGCAGAACAGGAACCAGGAAATATCAGAGTTAAGAATTTGCGTGCAATGAACACACTAGATGGCCTTAGGTAAAATAGTATGCTGCGACCTATGGGAAGAATAATATTGACCTGTTCACTCTTCAGTCATTCCAAAATTGGATAGAGATCAGGCTACAATACAGAAACAACGCTTCCATTCAAACACAGGTGTACAGCATAAAAAAAATCAAGGTCCAGACCCTACAGACAGCTCTATTTCAGTTCATCCAATTGCAGAAAGCCTCTCCTTCAGCTAAATGTATGAAAACTGGGAAGAGAAGTTCCACTCTTCCTCAATTTAGAACTCCTACACATATGCAGGTGAATGGCTGGAAGATGTGAGAAACTTCCTAATACACTGAAAACATTTGTTTATTATGTGCCACTTTTTTTGTCAAGAAAAGCCCATCTTTAAGGTCATAAATAACAAATATATATATATATATATATGGTGAAAATATAAAATGAACACCAGGGTAATAAAAACTGTAAAAGTTTTTAATAAATTAAAACTATAAAAGTTTTAAAAAGCGCCAAGCTTTCGCCGTCACCTGCCGGCATCCTCAGGGCTGGCGCGCCAGAGAATGAGAAGGTCTTTTATAGGCGTGTCAAGGCTTGCGCCCGGCTCCTTGATCTTGTTATCGGGCCTAATTGGTTCAGCCGTGTGCAATTAACCTGTACTTCTTTTCTCTTTTTGGTTGCATTTTTATCCTCATCCATTTCCAATTCTCCCAACTCCGGATTAGCTAGATGGCAATTCCAGTTATTTCGGTTGCCTTTATGTTCTGACCTCACCTCAGGCTCAGGTAGTGCACATTCCACATTCCTTTCTCCACCGTATCTTGTCCGGTTGTTACTTATAGAATCACATTCATTTCCGGTCTCAATACTTTCGTTTTTAATGTGTCCGTCATCCTGATGATCTCGTAAGTTACTATGGGTCCGGTGCAGCGTGGAGGGGTATTCCGCCAGGTGGAGGGGTCGTCTCTTATTCGTTGTCATGCCCAGCTGTCTTGCGCGTGTCCTACTCCGAGTACTCAGTCCAGGGGGTGTGTGTACAGCAATCAAGCCGCGCCCCTCCTGGTTGCAGTGCTCTTCCTCAGTTCTCCCCTTTTTTACGTTGTTAAAAGCATTCGCATGTGTTCCATGGGAGTCCTCAGGATCGTCGGGTAGTGGGTGTGACGGCTCGATCTCCCGCACCCTGCCGCTCTCCGATCTTCCCTCCTCCTCTATAACGGTGTGCGAGAGTTCATCATCAACCACCTCCTGTGGTTTGTCCTCATTGGAGCTGATCGTTCCGGCTGCATGAGGGGGTCTTCTCCTCCTTTCCGGACCAGCCGTGATGTTTCTTTTGATGTGTAGGCAGGCCGTTACGTTTGGCGGTTCGCCCGCACTTCCACCTGCCGTATCTTCCCTCGTCTCTTCTTTGCTGTCAGGGGTCCGGACCGTGGTTCTTATCACCCCCCTAATCCTCTGGGATTGCAGCAGTCTCACGGGGGTGGTCGAGGTATCTCGCGATTGCTTTTCTTCCTCTGAATTGCACATGGTTTGTGGGGTAGTTCGGGTACTGCCCAAGTTGTTATTGGGCCATCGGGGGTGTTGCCGCTGATTATTGGCACTCCATGATCTTAAGGCCAAATAGGACGGACATAGGTCAATATGCCTGTTAATGGACTTACTGTCCGAGAGCTATGCCTCTCTAAGAAGGCGGCCCCCTTTAGTACTATCATTTGCCAATACACTGACGCCACTAAAGTTAAACTTATGGCCCAGATCCACCGTGTGGGCCCATATTTGGGAGTGACAATCTCTCCTTCTCACTGCCCATTCGTGCTCATGGACCCTGGTCTTAATGCGTTTAGCAGTCTCCCCAATATAATTGCATTGGCAGTCCATACAGTCAATCCTATAGACGGCTGCCGATCTTTCGATGCTGGGGAGCGGGTCCGTAGGGCGCATTATTGCCGCCCGCAGTGTTTGGTTGGGTCTATGGGCCACCTGTATTTTATATGGTGCCAGGATCCTAGCTGTGGCTTCTGATACATTATGGATGTAGGGGAGGGCAATGCGTGTGGTGGCTTGAGGCATGGATTCTTGAGATACGGAGTTACTCCGGAGTCCAGGTAATTTCCTGAACTGGTTAATAAATTTGACTGGGTAGCCGTTACGTCTACATATTTGGAAGAGGTAGTTTCTCTCTTCCTTTTTAGCTCTGACGGTGCTGCAGTGTGTCTCCACCCGTTTGAATAGCGTCCTGACACAACTGGCTTTATGGGCCCTCGGGTGATTACTCCCAAAGTGGAGAATCCTGTCTGTACATGTTGGTTTTCGGTATACCCTGGTAGCTAGACATCCATCCACCTGGCGCTGCACTAATACATCCAGAAATGCTAAACTGCCCTGATCTTCCTCTTCCATGGTGAATTGGATGTCCGGGTATACCAAATTCAGGACGCCCATAAAGTCAGTCTTGTGTTGTTTCTTAATGACCGCAAACGTATCGTCCACATAGCGGGCCCAAAATTTTGGTTGATGCTGGGCCATCGCTATGTGTTCTAGCTGCTGGAGTACCATCTCTGCAACCACACTGGAGATCGGCGACCCCATAGGTGTTCCTTTAATTTGCTCATATATAACACCCTGAAAGGTGAAATAGGTGTTGAGGCATATTTCCATCAGCTTTACAAGGTCCTCCGTTTGAAGGGAGTCCTGATGCTGCCCATGGTCTCCCTGATTAAGCCGGTCTCTTAGGACCGCAACCGCAAGTTCTTGCGGGATGGAAGTGAATAGAGAAACTACATCAAAGGAGACCCAACCAAACACTGCGGGCGGCAATAATGCGCCCTAAGGACCCGCTCCCCAGCATCGAAAGATCGGCAGCCGTCTATAGGATTGACTGCATGGACTGCCAATGCAATTATATTGGGGAGACTGCTAAACGCATTAAGACCAGGGTCCATGAGCACGAATTGGCAGTGAGAAGGAGAGACTGTCACTCCCAAATATGGGCCCACACGGTGGATCTGGGCCATAAGTTTAACTTTAGTGGCGTCAGTGTATTGGCAAATGATAGTACTAAAAGGGGCCGCCTTCTTAGAGAGGCATGGCTCTCGGACAGTAAGTCCATTAACAGGCATATTGACCTATGTCCGTCCTATTTGGCCTTAAGATCATGGAGTGCCAATAATCAGCGGCAACACCCCCGATGGCCCAATAACAACTTGGGCAGTACCCGAACTACCCCACAAACCATGTGCAATTCAGAGGAAGAAAAGCAATCGCGAGATACCTCGACCACCCCCGTGAGACTGCTGCAATCCCAGAGGATTAGGGGGGTGATAAGAACCAAGGTCCGGACCCCTGACAGTAAAGAAGAGACGAGGGAAGATACGGCAGGTGGAAGTGCGGGCGAACCGCCAAACGTAACGGCCTGCCTACACATCAAAAGAAACATCACGGCTGGTCCGGAAAGGAGGAGAAGACCCCCTCATGCAGCCGGAACGATCAGCTCCAATGAGGACAAACCACAGGAGGTGGTTGATGATGAACTCTCGCACACCGTTATAGAGGAGGAGGGAAGATCGGAGAGCGGCAGGGTGCGGGAGATCGAGCCGTCACACCCCCTACCCAACGATCCTGAGGACTCCCATGGAACACATGCGAACGCTTTTAACAACGTAAAAAAGGGGAGAACTGAGGAAGAGCGCTGCAACCAGGAGGGGCGCGGCTTGATTGCTGTACACACACCCCCTGGACTGAGTACTCGGAGTAGGACACGCGCAAGACAGCTGGGCATGACAACGAATAAGAGACGACCCCTCCACCTTGCGGAATACCCCTCCACGCTGCACCGGACCCATAGTAACTTACGAGATCATCAGGATGACGGACACATTAAAAACGAAAGTATTGAGACCGGAAATGAATATGATCCTAAAAGTAACAACTGGACAAGATATGGTGGAGAAAGGAATGTAGAATGTGCACTACCACCTGAGCCTAAGGGGAGGTTAGAATATAAAGGCAACCGAAATAACTGCAATTGCCATCTAGCTAATCCGGAGTTGGGAGAATTGGAGACGGATGAGGATAAAAATGCAACCAAAAAGAGAAAAGAAGCACAGGTTAATTGCACACGGCTGAACCAATTAGGCCCGATAACAAGATCGAGGAGCCGGGCGCAGACCTCGACACGCCTATAAAAGACCTTCTCATTCTCTGGCGCGCCAGCCCTGAGGATGCCGGCAGGTGACGGCGAAAGCTTGGCGCTTTTTTAAAACTTTTATAGTTTTAATTTATTAAAAACTTTTATAGTTTTTATTACCCTGGTGTTCATTTTATATTTTCATTATGAATATCCCCAGGGTTCATATTTTTAACCTTTTTAATCGCATATATATATATATATATATATATATATATATATATATATATATATATATATTCGCGATTAAAAAGGTTAAAAATAGGTCTTTGGTTGTTCGGGTTTTCTCGCGTAAAATTGGAAGTGTCTTGGCGACGTTTCGACGAAGTCCCATTCGTCATCTTCAGGCTGGTGTTTTCAGCTTCGTGCTTCGAGCAACAATGTGTGGTCTTAGCTGTTTCTTCCCTTTAACTGGCAGTGGGGGTATGAACTGATTGGGTGGGAGCTTGGCTGTGTTCTGATTGGGTGGAGGTGTGTTGTGATTGGCTAGGGGCTTGGCTGTGCTCTGATTGGCTGGGGGGTTGGCTGTGCTCTGATTGGCTGGGGGGTTGGTTGTGCTCTGATTGGCTGGGGGAGTGTTCTGTTTGGTTGTGCTCAGGTTAGTCTGAGTTGCAGAGGGGTTTAAGATTTTGGGCTGCCTTGCTATTTTTTGGCTTCGCGTTCGTGGTCGTGCCTCCTCTTCATACCCCCACTGGCAGTTAAAAGGAAGAAACAGCTAAGACCACACATTGCTGCTCGAAGCACGAAGCTGAAAACACCAGCCTGAAGATGACGAATGGGACTTCGTCGAAACGTTGCCAAGACACTTCCAATTTTACGCGGGAGAAAACCCGAACAACCAAAGACCTATATATATATATATATATATATATATATATATATATATATATGTATGTATGTATGTATGTATGTATGTATGTATGTATGTATGTATATGTGTGTATGTATATATATATATATATATATATATATATATATATATATATGTATATATATATGTATATATATATGTGTATATATATATATATAAGTGAGAAAAACAGAGTATTAATATAAAAATTGTTCTAGATTTTTCTAAGTCTAGAATACTGACACTTTTCTGATTTGTATGCCAATATAAAATACATGAATATAAGTGGTCCTCAATTTACCACCAGTTGCTTAGCAACTGTTATGACCGACATGAAAAAGGAGGTCCAAGACCTGGATGTGACGTGTTAGTCACATGATTGAACTTTGAGTACTCAACAACATGGTTGCATTTTACGGCCATTATTGTAGCATTTTACCATGGTTTTGCTGAAAATTGGAATTAGCTTCCAGATTTTGGCAAAACTGCACTCATAGCGAGCCTTTATTTTCTTAATGACTGCTGCAAAAAAAAAAAAAAGGCATAAAATGGAGTCAGTTACATGAACAACTATTTTTATGACCATTATGATATATCACTGCAATGATCAGGCTCCACTATAGTCACATATTGAAGATTACCTGTACCTAAGAAGGCAACCAGACTATTTTCTCTGCATTCACCCTGTTTAAATTTAAGTATTAGAATATTTATATCAATTGACTAGAATAATATAGTACCAGATATTTGATTAGTACAAATGTATCTGATATTATTGGATAGTTGTGTTACTATCTGGATGGTCCTAAAGCACTAAACATTTTACAAATAAGGATAATATATGCATCATAAAATTAAAGCAGGCCACAGAAGCCACATGAGATTTGCTAAGTATTGATCGCTTTAATGGTTCAAGAAGAAGTGTTTCACTCAAGCTCACTTGCTTGGAGAATTACCATTTTTATTCCTCCATTTCTAGCAACTGTCTCAGTTTTGAAATTCAGCTGTAAAATGGAAAAAAGAGTAACCATATGCTCACAGGGAGTTTAAAGGGCACAAGGAAGAACTGCTTGACTGAGCAACTTTCAGTGAACAGATAATCTCAAAACCTTCCACTGCAACTGAATCACAAAATAAATATAGGGTTACCTATTAGGTGTATATTCCCCTTAGTCGACAGACCTGTACAAGATTACAATTTTTAACGAAAAAGGTGCTTCAAATTAATTGGTTGTGGATCAAGCATTGGCCCACAATTCCTTAATATGTATTTTTTACATATGTATAACAAGTTTTAATAAAATATGTTTTAATAAGTTCTTTACTAGTGCTACACTACGCCTGTTCCAAAGCATCTTTACCCATTGAATCCAGCTATCTTGTGGTGATGGGGAAGACCCACCCATTGAATCCAGCTAACTTGTGGTGATGGGGTAGCCCTATTTTTATAATGGTAAAATAAAGCTTAAAGGTCAATGAAAATTATACTTAATAACTTTAATATACAAATAAAGCAATCTCAAGTAATCCTTGAGATGCTTTCAGCCATTGAATAGTCTTGAACATTATGTTCAAGTGTGGCTTTTCCTCATTTCAGTAGTTGATGTGGAAAAGAAGTAGTTCAGAAGGTGCAACAAATATCTAACACCAGAGTGTAGCCAGAGTTGCTGCGTTACCTATCATACAGAGCAAACGAGAAACTCACTTGAAAAAGATGGCCTTTCCTCTGGATTAGGTGCCCAAGCAGATTCCATTAAAGACACCATCAATTCTCGGTAAGGAATATCAAGGGGCAAAGTTTCTTCCCCAACATCTGGGCGCTTCCCTCGTGACATGCTAAACATAATTTGCAAGTGATGTATAACATCTGCAAAAGTCAATACATGCATGTATTAGAAATATATGTGCATTTCTTCCAATTCTACAAATTGGAGCACAAGTAGTAAATTCACATTTTAAATTATATTATATTGTGATCTAAACCTAATTTGAAAATGTTAAATGCAAAATATATCACCTCCCCTTCCTACCAATATTCTGCAATACATGGTATTTTACTACAATACAATAGTACAATACAATGCAAGCTTAAGACAAAGGGGAAACAATGGCTTTTTAAAAAAACACTGTTTACATTAATCTTACATTAAACTTAACAGGTTAGTCTATCTCAGCTATTCTTTAACAGAATTAGACAAAGACAAAAATCTGACCTTCGAATGGTTTTTTTCTTGACATCACTTCCCACATAATAATGGCATAACTGTTCCAAACAAAAATGCACGTTAGTATGTATTTTTTAAATTTGTTCATTTTTTCCCCCAAGACAAAATAATTTCAGTAAAATGAAAATATCCCAGATTGTTGTTTTGTGGGAAATCTACATCCCACTCCAACAGCAAAGTAGGAATATTAATATTCAAATATTTTCAGTCACTAGTTGGGACAAGTACCTTTGGTATCTTAAAAAAATAGTAATTTCTTTATATATACAGCATTTGTGTATATAAATAAATACATCATATAGACCTATTACACCTAATACAAATACAGGGATACTTTTTCAAATGTTATTTAAATGTTAACTTTATCAACTGCATTCTTGTATCAGTATATATGACTTACTAGAAATTAAGTAGAATAAATTTTAGGTTTCCATGCTAATTCTCCTCTTATATAGCTGCAAAGGAAAGTTTGGAAGACTTCACATTTATTTTTTATTGAATGCAGCTCCTTTTTGAATAAATTTAGCAAAACTTCCTTCCTTACAAGATATGTCATCTTCAAATCAGAAGCTGACTTCATTCAAGAACAAAGTTTACGATGAACCTTTTTAAAGCTTTTTAAAATTTGAAATGGAAGCAATGTTTTTGAAAATATGCAGGAAGCTGTATTGAAAGAGAACACAAAGCAGAAGTTATTTCAGTAAACCAGAGTTTATTGTGATAGCTGGATTCAGGCTCTTTGGATACGTATCATTGTTTATTGTTACTGTAAATACATGAAGCACTAGGAGCAGCCAAAGTCCTTAAGAAATCTGTAAACTCTATACTTTGACTTACATTGTTAATTAGTTAATATCCCTGTAAAATTTTCAGGTTAGCTTTTCACTAAATTAAAGATGCTTGACCTGCTTTAAGTAACTTGAAAAAGGGTTAAAATGTTCCTTTCAAGAAGCTAGAAATAATGAGTTTGAATTGACATTTTGTGATCCTATTTCACAATAAGATATGTCCGTGTGTGTGTTATTTGAAACTTAGGGATGAATTAGATTTTCCAAGCATATATATAATACAAAGCCTGAGAGAAGATATGTATGAAAAAACTTGAATTATGCAAGCCATAACTGGACAGCATAATTGCTAGCATAGGAACCCATCCTTAAATTGATTCCAGAGACACTTTAAACATTTAATGAAACTGATTCACAAATACTAGATGCAAAAGTCCATTGATTTGTTGACTTCCATTGAATAGAAAAAGAAAGGAAATATATCCCAAACACATAGCTGATTACAAACACCACCAAGAAAACAAATTTTCCTAATAAAAATATGTGCTGACTTTAACCTCGATAGAGAAGTGTCAAATAGTTCTGTGGAGACTGAGACACCAAAATATACAACATTTTGGGCTTTAATCTCATTGCATTTTACATACACTGTCTATAATGCCCGATATGGCTGGTTTTTTTTTTATATTTTGAAAAAATAAGCACACATTGTTCCAAAACTCCGTAACAGAATAACATACCTGTATATATCATGCTTTACACTTGAGCGGATTTTGCTGCCATCATAACATTCAGGTGGTATGTAAATGATGGTCCCTCCCTCAGATATTGATTTATCCCCTTTTGAAAGTGACATGGACACCATGCGCCACTTTGATAAACCAAAATCTGCAATCTGAAAGATAGAAAAGAAGCTTAGGCCACCATGTGCAGCTGAGAGACAAAGGTTTTTAGGTCCATTAAAATATATACTTTGGTCACAGAAGAGCAGAGTTCAAATTTACAAACAGTTTCATGCTTTATGTTGTAAAACTAGAATCACAGTCATCACAACCCTTCTAAAAGTTCTTACTCCGTAAGTGGCAATTTTTACTTCCCCCTTTAAGGCAGAAATACTGCTTTTCTGTATATCAATTACACAAATGAATAAGAAATTTGAAAGGATATTTAATAATTTGCAAACTTCTAAAATATGGTATGTGGAAATATGATGGAAACTGATCTCTTTTGAAATTCAAGAGAGGACTCGGATTAATAGGTTAAAATTAAAAGAGAGGAGATTCACAATGAGTATTAGGAGGAATTTCCTTCTAAGAGCTGTTAAGCAGTGGAATAAAGTCCAGAACAATGGTGGACTCTTCTTGCAGGAGGTTTTCAAACAGTGGTTCAAGCTGCCTGTCAGGGTAGTTTAGTAGATTCCACTCATTAATAATGAGTATGTAAAAAAGGGACAAGGGTTCAAGTTATGAAGTTGTACTTGCCATCTGCTGCAGGTGCCCCTGTACCTCACTGAGCAGGGGATTGGGCTAGATGACTATAAGGATCCACTCAAATAATAAAACTGGGAAAACTGCATTAAAAAATAAACTACTTGAATATATAGCCAACTAAGATGATTTGTTTTTAAATTGGTAAATTCTTTAAATTGGTAAAGAATTTGGGAGTATTCGGTACAAATTTTACTGAAATAAAGTTGTGATTATAGCTTTCCCTTTTTCGTTTAAAAGGATTTAAAACTTTAGCAGCAGAACAGCTTCAAAAGACTTTTGATAGCACTTGGCATAATTTTAGGAAGCTTTTAAAAATAGAACTTGGAACACTCCAAGTGTAAAATGCCCTTTTCTTATATAAAATGCCCTTCTCTTATGTAACATACCCTTCTCTCTCTCTCTCTCTCTCTGATTTTTTTTGCCACCCATCTCATCTAAGGGACTCTTTTCAACATTGATCTGTCTTATCTCCCTTATGTGCAAGATTTTTTTCTGTACTGTAACGTTGCTACCCCTGATTTTTCCACTTCTTCTCTGTAGAAGAGCCCAGCCTTACCTTAACATGGAACTCACTGTCAAGTAAAATATTCTGGGTCTTCAAATCATGGTGCATGAGTGGAGGACTCAGGTTGTGAAGATAATTTACTCCCAAAGCGATTTCATACAAAATGCGATACCTGAGTGACCAAGCAATATCGGGATAGATGTTTTTCTATTTAGAAAAGAGAAAGAACACAACACATGATGATATAGCGAGACAAACTGGAATATTCGAAAGAGCATCTTGAAACTAGCTGATCTACTAGCTTATGTATTTATTTATCCAATTCTAAAACTACCCATCTCCCATCTGGGTACAGTACAGATAAAATATTAAAATGTAAAAACAGTATATAAAATTAATAATAATAATAATAATAATAATAACAACAACAACAACAACAACAAAACAACAATAACAATATTACTACTACTATGATGATGGAAGGGACCATGAAGGTCATCTAGTAAATCCCCTGCTCAGGCAGGAAACCCTATACCAGGGGTGTCAAACTCGCAATGTCATGTGATGTATTGTGATACATTGTGACTTTTTTTCCATTGCCGGCAATGGGGGGGCGTGGTTTTGCCATGACACATTCGGCCTGCGGGCTGGCAGTTTGACACCCCTGTCCTATACCATTTCAGACAAATGGCTATCCAGTCTCTTCTTAAAAAACTTCCAGTGTTGGAGCACTCACAGCTTCTGGAAGCAGGTTATTATTCCACTGATTAATTGTTCTAACTGTCAGGAAATTGGTTAGTTTCCATCTGTTGCTTTTTGTCTTATCTTCAGGTGCTTTGGAGAATAGCTTGACTCTCTCTTCTTTGTAGCAACCCAAGATATTGGAACACTGCTATCATGTCCCCCCCCCCTTGTCTTTCTCTTCATTAAACTAGACATATCCAGTTTCAGCAACCATTCCTTGTATGTTTTAGCTTCCAGTCCCCTAATTATCTTTGTTGCTCTTCTCTGTACTCTTTGTAGAGTCTCAACATCTTTATTACATCGTGGTGACCAAAACTGGATACAGTATTACAAGTGTGGCCTTACCAAGGCATTGTAAAGTGGTATTAACACTTCACGTGATCTTGATTCTATCCCTCTGTAAATACAGCCTAGCACTGTGTTGGCTTTTTTGGCAGCTGCAGAACACTGCTGGCTCATATTTAAGTGATTGTCCACTAGGACTTCAAGATCCCTCTCACAGTTACTACTATTGAGCAAGGTACCACCTATACTATAGCTGTGCATATGTTTTTTCTTGCCTAAATGTAGAACCTTACTTTTCTCACCATTGAATTTCATTTTGTTATATAGCACCAAATGTTCAAGTCTGTCACGATCCTTCTGTATCTTAAGCCTATCTTCTGGAGTGTGGGCTATTCCTGCCAGCTTGGTGTCATCTGCAAATTTGATGAGTTCCCCATCTGTTCCCTCAACCAAATCATTGATGAAGATGTTGAAGACCACTGGGCCAGAACAGAGCCCTGGGGCACCCCACTACACACTCCCCTCAATGTAGATGTGGTTCCATTGAGGACTACATGCTGAGTATGGCTGGTCAGCCAGCTACGAATTCATCTGGTTGTGATGCTATCTAACCCACATTTTTCTATCTTTTCTATTTAAAATAGGCAAGGATGTTAAGATGTTAAAAGTTAATTTTAAAAAGTGGGGGGACCCTTTTCAGAGCACTAACCAGCCCCACAGCTGACTGCTCCTCTGTGAGCTCCAAGCAAAGCAACCGAGCCATGTTTTCAAACCTTTGCAAAAGGTCCACCTCATTTCTGGAGGGAGGATGGAGGAGGCAACACAGAGAAGGCTTTTTTCTGGACCCCACCAGTCAGAATTCTTTAGCTGACAGGTTCACAATATACCTTTCCACTGATTGACAGGATGGGCTGGGCTGTGTAATGGGCTACTATTACGAGACTTGGTAGCAAATATTGCAGGCAAATTCCACCCACAATCAGGAGTTTGATCCTGACTGGCTCAAGGTTGACTCAGCCCTCTCTTCTTCTGAGGTCAGTAAAATGAGGACTCAAATAGTTTGGGCAATATGCTGATATTGTAAAATGCCTACACAGTGTGGGACTTCTGGTTTGCATCGCGACATATCAGGACGGAGGAAGGTAGGAGTCTGCCTTCCATGCCCAATTTCTCCCTGCTGGGGCTCTAAAAAGGGCCTAAAATCATCTCGAAGAGGCGATGAAGAGGAGGGGTTGCCTTGTTCATCATGGTTTTTCTGTTTGATCCAAGGAAAGCCCTCCAAACTGGCAGGGGAAAGACCAGCTACATTTCCGTGGCCAGCCATTAGCTGCTGAGAACCAAAGAAAGAAGAAAGCACTACTTAATACATCGTAAACAGCATGATTGGAACTGGGTGAGAATATTGATCCTTTCTTTACTATTTTACAACTGAATTTCTTGGGAAAGGTTCCCAAGAAGCTAAAAACCTCTGAATGTAAACAGAAGCAGCATTTTAATCTTCTGGGGGACAGAAACATACAATATTGAAGTGGAAGAAAAATAAAGCTACAGTTTCAACAAATTTGAGAACTGAGATAACTGTTAAGATTTTCTCTTTGAAAAAAAACAAACACATTGAGGCGAAATATAAGAAATCAAGCCTTTGTTTTAAGAGTGGAAAATGGACTTTGAATGATATCTAGTGATGGATTTATGGACTATATTTTGCTTTGCTTGGTGATTCCTACCTTGGGAAAACAGTTGCTGGTAATAAAGGAAAATATTTTGCCATACTTATCATCCTGACCTTCTTGGATTATAAATACCTACTGATCTTGGACTTTTTAACTTCAAGAGCTAGTGGGACAGAAAGCGACTTGGCAAAGAAAGAAAGCGAGAATCAGATTTAAAAAACAGAAGATTTGACCTTTTAGAGGGGGCATTATATGTTTAAATACTTCTTTGAATAAGATTAAAAGAACGGAAGACTTTTAGATATAATTACACTGTTATAATGAAAGATATGATTTAGAATTAAGATAACATTGTCCCCTCTTTTTTGATATATAAATGTAATTAATATTGAGAAAATCATGATTTATAAAGATATTTCAAATACTGATGGAAATTAAACTTTAACAAGAGCACGAAAAACAGGATACTGATTAATGAATTGATATTATTGATTTATGAATTGATATTATTGTTATTTATATGATATTAGTAAAATATGATGAAGATGCTTATATCTAACACTATACATTAACAGTACCAAAAATTGCAAAGGTGCAATGAAGGGAAAATGGAAAAAATATGGAGAAGAAAGGAGGATCAGGGGAAAAAATACTGGATTGTGTAGTACTGAACAGATTTATACTGAAGAAGTTAATGTTAAATATTTGAACCCAGACAACATGTTGTTTACTAAGCATTAAAGACTGTAATTTTTAAAAATTAATAGAACTTTTACAAAAAAAATAAAGTAAAAGGCCTAGACAGTGCTGTAAAGGACTATAGAGTGATACAGAAGTCTAAGTGCTATTACTATTGCTATTGTCAAGATAACCTGTGTTCCTTAACGCTTGGTGAAGAATTGACCTGAACTAGATAGCACCTTCATCTTTTACCAATTGCCCACAGTTTATTTATATACACAATAACTAAAACTACACAATTAAAAATTAATAAAATTAATTACACAACTAAAACTATTTCATATTCATTCTCAATCTATAACAATATTTTGACTCTAATAAAGAAAACGTATAAGTTCTGGAGAATGGCTATATTCAGTAGCTTTTTAGAGGCTCTCTAAAAGCACTTATCACTCCATATCAATGCATGAAGATGGGAAACTTGTTCTCAAATTGCCCCTTTCTGGATTAAGACACAACATTGGTTAGAACATGTGCTCTTCTTCTTTCTGAAGCATTAACTGAGTATTTCTCAACTTTAGCAATTACAAAAAAATGTGCACTTCAATTCCCAGAATTCCCCAGCAAGTATGAGTTTCTGAGATTGGTTCCCAAACACTTCCTTATTTTAAAATTAATATTACAGTTATTACAGTTGTTCACACTTACCTCATATAAAAGTTGGTTCAGTGATCCATTAGGCATATATTCTGTCACAATACCAAGAAACTGAGGTTCATTGCAAATTCCTAAAATTGGTAGAATGTAACTGAATCTTGCCTGATGTAAAATTTCAGCTTCTTTTAAGAGACTGTCTCTCTCACTACAAGAATAAATGGCAAAACAATAGTCAAATTTACTTATCTTCCAGATAATAGACTTAAAATATACACTGTGGAAAGACATGGTTAAAGAAAAAGAATAAAAATCTTGTTTACATATTAATTTATTTACATGCGCCCATTCTTTTTGCATCTTTCACCAGCTGCTGAAGTCAAAATATACAGCTGTTTTCAATTCTATTCCCAGATTTTCCATTTTGAAGCTAGTTTTACTTTTGCTAGTCATTCTGTGTAATATAGCAAATTATATTTTCTATAGCTTCATGGATTTTTACCTTAAAATCAGTCCTAGCAAGTTTCTTCAGATGTTAAGATAATTTAGAATTTTAAAGAGGGACCAAATCATAGCATGAATTTCTGCTTCCACTTTAGGTGTGAATAAAGGGTGCAATTTGAAAATGTTAGCTTCTTATTTGTATTTCCATAATTATTCAACTACTGTATGTTTTATTAAAATAAGCTGGTTGCAAACTAAATAAGAATGCTCATAAAACCAGTTAGGGATAACTAGTTTTTTTTTTTTACATAATGCTAAAGAGTACCTACAAGATAGCTGCATCTTGTTTCTGTGATGAAAACTAAGTTTCTCTTCTTTGCAGGAACTAGCACCTTGGCTCTAATAAAGACATCCAAATTCTAATTATCTTCTGATAGTCGTTTCACATCTCCAATTCATCTGACATGGTGACCATATCTGGGCTGCAAAATCTAGATCATGAATAAATTCAGCAAAGAGAACCATCTTTACTGCCTTCTACTGGTTGTTTGGATTTTTTCCAGTCTAGACATAATAATATCAACCATACTACAAGGCAGTGTACAGGTGAGCTTGTGCCATTATCTAGTAGGGCAGCTGAGTATAATCCTCAAAACTAGACCTTTGTAATTCAGAATACAAAAATATATACTGTTAAGACTCAAGAAAAAGCAGTAATGCCTTTAGAAACATATGCATTAGGTTGAAAGATCACAGATGTTAAGGCTATGCTGGAACTGTGCCAAAAATGATAGTCTAGGAAATAGTTAATATAATAAGAGTTGTGGTAAACAAAAAAGGAATCTTACACTCAAATTAAGGAAGTATTAAAACAGCATTTCTTAGTCTAGACATAATAGTGTCTTTTAAAAATTGCAAAGGTTCTGTATATCATTTACAAAAATATTTTCCCCAAAGGGAAATCCGTAAGTAGAGACTAGATCAGGGGTTCTCAACCTTGGCAACTTTAAGACTTGTGGACTTCAATACCCAGAATTCTTCAGCTGGCTGAGGAATTCTGGGAGTTGAAGTCCACAAGTCTTAAAGTTGCCAAGGTTGAAAACTCCTGGACTAGACTATATATGATGATGCTTCAGAAATGCTTTAAGAAACCAGTATATGAGACACACCTTTTAATTTTGTACACCCACCTCATTTCCATAGATGGAATCTACAAATTTGGCCACCACCACAAAACCAAAACTTGTGTACAGTTGAAGAAAAAAGAAAGAATCACAGAAGTGAATCATTCCAAACTATAACATTCAGCATTACGGCAGGGGAAGTAAGCCTTTCATTAACCAAAACCAAATTGTGAAAGTAAAAGTAAAGTCTTCCTTATCTGAATTAATGTTACCACTATTTTAATTTTCAAAATATTGCAAGCCAGTAATTAACTTGTTTGATTGAAGTTTTGATTCTTTTCAACTGAAGGCCGAAATATAGCCTGTGTCAAGCATGAGAAATCAGGAAATCCAGGCAGTTCAAATGAATGTAAAGGTTTCTTGTAAGCTTAAGCTCTCTACAAGAATCTGAATTACTAATTGTCAAAGCAAATTGGCGGTAGATAAGAGTCAATGGAATTCAAGGTGGGCTGGACTTAGATCTCTTGTGGGTGCAAAGGGACTTGAAACTGATGATATGTTTGACCTCTCCCTCAGGCTCAGCCTGTCATCTCCCACAGCAGCTTTATATTCTCTATGTCTGTTTGGAGAATTTTGGGGGGAGAAACTCCAACTACATGTCAATATCCAATTCAAGAATCCAAATAAAACTCCAGGTTCATTCCATTCCCAAAAATCTTAGTTTATTGAATATACTGCATGGTAATGTCAAAGCAAAACTAACTCTGAGATTCCCAGACATAGAATTAAACAATAATTTCTCCAACCAAAGCTCCAACCTCTCATGTAGTCCATATAAACAATTTCACTTTGTTATGTGAACCGTCTGCTTTCTCTCCATACCTGCTACGGTGTCCTTGGAAAGGTTTCAAGCTCTCAGTCTTCAGCGGAATCATAGAGGTTTTGTTTCTCCATCTAATCCATTCTAAAGCAACACCCCTCTCTTACTCTAATGGCAAGTTGAAACAAAGAGGCACATAGTTGCCAAAGTTTTATTAGCGACATTACACTTATTTCCCCTCCCTTATGTGTGTGTGTGTGTGTGTGTGTGTGTGTGTGTGTGTGTGTAAACAAAATCTGGGCAATGTCCCAGATTTTATCATTAGATTGTCCTAATTCCCCAACATTTATCAATGACCTTCTTATCCAGTCAACGTTTGAACTAGAATGACACTTTTTGTTCATGTCATACTTTTTTGAGATAGGCAGGTGAGCCTTTGCCCAGGGATCCTCATTCGTAAGATAAGTACCAGCAAAGAGTTGAACCCAGGTATCCCACAAAGGTGGCACTCTAACATATGTTGTACTATCTAGCCACTCACCAGAAGACAGCATTGATGATAGAGCAGTGCCAAGTAACAGTAATATCAAGAGAAAAAAGTATGAGAAGCTGGAGAAATACCAGGATTTGAAGGAGGAATGAGAGAGCATTTGGAAAATAAAGGCCAAAGTAGTCCCAATGGTGCACTCGAGGAGCACTCAATACTATAACTCTTAAGCTGGGAAGTAGCTCCAACACATCCTAGGAATAACATCAAAGTTCTCTGTCCAAAAGAGTGCAGTGTTAAGGACAGATAAGATCCTGAGCAGAACCTTCAAACTCCCAGGCCATTGGTAGAGTGACCATGATTGAGGATAAGAAGGGAATTTTTATACATTTATCTAGAGAAAGAAAGTATGAGTGAGATAAATATATTCCCAAATGTATTCTTCTGGCAAGCAAACAAATTAGGTAAACAAAATTGGAAAATTTGAAGTCTAACAAATTTGAAAGTTGCTAGTGAAGAGGCTATTGAATGTAACCATTTATAGATGAAGACTAAAAAACAATCAAGCCAATGAATTGGATTTGAAGTGGGCTTTGTTTAATGCAAAGGGCATAATCCTGGGAACTGCAAATTATTATTCATTAGAATATTATAAACAAAAGCATGAGAAATTGACACACCAATCCATATAGAAAACTGCTGTTGGTTTTCTATGTTTCTAAGTTTCTAATTACATTTCAAGAGGGAGGCAATATTTTTCCTTTAGGAAGAGATTCATTATCTGCTCCTCCCAAAAAGTCACATTTCACTGTCTGGAAAATGTCTAGAGTTCCCCTTTTGCAAATTTTACAACAGTCTTACTAGAGAAGAATGCATGAGTCATACACATGGTTGTCCTGTCATTTCTTCACAAAGGCTGGGACTATTCTCAGAATACAGCTTTGCTGTTAATAATTTATCAGAAGGCAAATAATCTTCCTAAAACTTCAAAACAAATAGACCCAATTCTTAGGTGTAGCCACCTAAACTATCTCTGAAGGCTATCACAAAGTGCAATTTTGAAAACCAAAAAAAGTTAATTGGAATAATCATACATATTGTATTCTGATTAAATCTAGTTTATTTATTTGTTTTTGTTTTTAGTCTGCTGGTTGTTAGTTACAAAATGCCCCCACTTAAATGTCAGAAAGTTACATGTGCCTTTTAAATAAGGCTATCATCCTTTCATAACTGGGTGGGAATTTGAAAGCCAGAGTGACTAGCACTCATTCTGAGGAGTGTTTAAATTTTCAGAAACACAAATTCTCTTGAATCTGATGACTACATTAGCTTATCCAGGTGGTTTTCTTAACAATAAGACAAACATGAGTTGTCATTGCCCTTTCTCAGAATGATAAAAACAAAAACAAAACCTTTCTAGTTCAGTTTTGTCTTGATAGTTCCCATATAGCAATTTGAAGAGCAGCAAGGTGCTGCTATCTGCACTTTCCCTCCAAAAACAAAAGCACGCCTGTTTTCAGCGTTCAGAATCCACCCCTCCCAATGCTTATCCCAGCAGGCTTCATTCTGGGGAAGGGTATAGGATTGGGAAAGCAAAAGAGCAAAATGGGTGCGTTAGCTATTATATGGGTTTAAAGTGATTGCTTTAATACTTAAATATTTTCACTTTGCAATAAAAGAAGTCCTGTCTCTGCCCATTTTTTCATCACATGCTGCATTAAGAAAAAATTGCATACCTTCATAATTACTTTAGGGAATGCTTAATATTAGGGATCTGCAGTATTGTATTAAAGTCTGTTTAAATTGGCCTAGTACTAGCTCATGTGATCTTTCTGGCTTTATTTATTTATTTAGAAAATGTATATCGGCTGCCCGTTTTAAGTACATTTGCAAAAAAAAAAAAAATCCACATAAAAGAAATCCAAAACTAGATAAAATTAAAATAATCCAAATATATTAAAAAAAACCCTACAGGGTAACAAGTAACTTGCAAATGGGAAAGCCTAATATCCCAATTCTAAAACCTAAGGAAAAAGACAGATCGTAGCAGCCTTCTGATGGCCAAGAGAGTTAGAGCTGAGGGAAGTTAGTCCAGAGAAGGCAATATTAAAAGGGCAGAAAAATATATTTTTCCTCAAAAGGATTTTTAAAATCAAAAACCAACCCTGGCCTCATCTCTTTGCCCCAAGCAGTAGCCAGCCCTATACAAATGCAGATGTAAAACCATCAGAAAGTTGGAGCCAGAGAAGGCTAGAGGGGGTATAAAAACCTACTGCCCATGTGCTCAGCTCCTTCTTCTTCCCTCTGCTCTTTCTTGCAAGAACCATCTTTCT